GGGCAGAGCACGCAACCCAGGATCCCAGGGAAGGGACTGAGGTCCCACAGAGAACGGAGCTACCGCCATTGTTCCCTCTCGACCCTGCACTCACATACAACGTCACAATCTAGCGACTGGGGTGCCCAGGCCTGGTGAACACCTAAGGCTCTGTCCCTCACCATAACAGGAGCGACCAGACCCCCCCCCCAAAAAAAAAAAGAGAGAGAGAGAGAGAGATGCTCAAACAGAAGAACAAATCAGTGCCCCAGAACTCATCCTTTTGAGTGACCAAGAGATAGCTAACCTATCAGATGCACAGTTCAAAACACTGGTGATCAGGAATCTCACAGAATTGGTTAATTTTGGTCGCAAATTAGATGAACAAATGCAGGTTACCATAAAAGAAATGAAGGAAAATGCACAGGGAACCAATAGTGATGGGAAGGGAACTGGGACTCAAAACAATAGAGTGGACCAGAAGGAAGAAAGAAACAACCAAACAGGAAAGAATGGAAAAATAAGAATTCAAAAAAATGAAGAGAAGCTTAGGAACCTCCAGGACATTTTTAAACGTTACAACATCTGAATTATAGGGGTACCAGAAGGGGAAGAGGAAGAGCAACAGATTGAAAATGTATTTGAACAAGTAATAAAGGAGAACTTCCCCACTCTGGCAAAGGAAATAGACTTCTAGGAGGTCCAGGAAGCTCGGAGAGTTCCAAAGAAGTTGGACCCAAGAAGAAACACACCAAGGCACATCATAATTACATTAGCCAAGAATAAAATGAAGGAAATAATCCTAGAAGCAGCAAGAGATAAAAGGACAGTAACCTACAAAGGAGTTCCCATCAGACTGTCAACTGATTTCTCAAAAGAGACCTTACAGGCAAGAAGGGGCTGGAAAGAAGTATTCCAAGTCATGAAAGACAAGGACCTATATCCCAGATTACTCTATCCAGCAAAGCTTTCATTTAGAATGGAAGGGCAGATAAAGTGCTTCTCATATAAGGTCAAGTTAAAGGAGTTCATCATCACCAAGCCCTTATTTTATGAAATGTTAAAGGGACTTATCTAAGAAAAGAAGATTAAAAAAACGTGTATAGTAAAAGGACAGCAAACTCACAATTATTAATGACCACACCTAAAGCAAAACCAAAAGAAACTAAGCAAACAACTACAACAAGAACAGAACCACAGAAATGGAGATTGCATGGAGGGTTAGCAACAGGGGAGTGGGAGGAGGAGAGAGGGAGAAAAGGTACAGAGAATAAGTAGCATAGATTGTAGGTAGAAAATAGACAGGAGGAGGGTAAGAATAGTATGAGAAATGTAGAAGCTAAAGAACTTATAAGTATGACACATGCACATGAACTAAAGGGGGGGAATGTGGGTGTGAGAGGGTGTACAGGGTGGAGGGGAGTGAAGGGGGGAAATGGAACAACTGTAATAGCATAATCAATAAAATATATTAAAAAAATATTAGAATCTCTGGCCTTCAGTTTCCTCTTCCGTAAAATAAAGGAATTAGACTATATAATTCTTAAGATGCTTAAATTTATAACATTAATTCTGAAAATCTGAGGGATATTTTTCCAAGATGGAAGTCTGCTGATATAAACAATACTGCTCACATGGAATAAAAATATTATTTATATAGGCAAACCCCATAAAGAAAATGACTATTATTCAAGTAACAAGACTTTCAAAATGCAGATTTTTGACTCTTAATATCTAATGATTCCTCATTTTGAGATTACAGTGGGCTTTTTATGAATGGCAGGAATTTAAAATAGTACAATAATGGTGATCTGCTGACCTTTTTAATGTGAAAAGTGACCAGTTGAACAATCTAAGTTGCTAGTTATTGTAGGTTTACTAACTGAAATAAATTTCTGGAGTTTCAAGTCCCTTATAAGAAGATACTGAATTATAAGTGAAGGTTACCTTGGATAAAAGTACAAGAAGTATGTTTAAATCACCTTAGGGCTGAAGTAATGGACAGAACACTGAAATGATAGGCCTGAGAGCATTGTTTATTGGAACAGTTAGGCATCAGCATCTGTCATTCTATTGATCTCCTGAATGGATTCTATTCCTCTGGTGGGTCCACATGTCCCCTGACTGCCTCCCCACTTTGTGCGTGGTTTAAGGAAGGTATTATTCTATGTGGAAAAGATCTCTTTTTTTCTGTCAAGCTGAGTCCCCTGCTAGGACCCAGCTCTTCTATAAGGAGAATAGCAGTAATATACATAATGTTATTTTCTTAAGAGAAATGTGTTCAATAAATTTCAGAGATTCACTCATTCATTTACTCTTTTATTCATTCTTAATAATAAATATTATTAATATTTAATACAATACATATTTATACAATAAATATTTAGTAAGCATCTGTCATAGACCAGACACTATCGCAGAGTTGGCAAATCAGTCCCAAGCAAGCCTTACAGAATTTATAATCTCCCCATTTTGATTTATAATCCTCACTTTATATATATTCTTTCCCCCTCCCTCCACTTAAGCTTCCAAAAGAATAGATTTGGGCATATTAATGTTATTGAAGGCCTTTTTTTGAGAGTTTAGAAATTACATAGTACAAATTTTAGGGGAAAAACTCACAGGGTTTTGATGGATCTGATGAACTTCAAAAACTTCTTAAGGTCACCCATTGAAATTTTCTCTGAGCAAAGCTTTTGCCTGGGTTTTATTGTCCTTTTGTATGGTTGTGATGTGTGGCCTCCTTCCCTCACCTCCAATGTGCTTGTTTTCTTAGTGATATTGCCTTGTCTTTAAATTTCTATCATTCTGTGTAAGATAGAGACCTAGAATTATAAGAGAAATGCTTCATGTTACTTTATAACAAGGGAAAAGCAAGAGAAGGAACTCACTTTTATTAATTATGCTACTGTTAATCATTATTAACAATAATATTTATTATTATACACCAGGCAGTGTGTCTTGATTGTCCCATGAGGTATGTGTTTTTTAGCCAGGACAATACTTTCTATATTGAGATCTGATAAACTTCTCTGCATTTATAAGGGTTCAAATCTGTGTTGAACCCTCCTTCCTTGTTCCTTTAGTCTGTTTTTGTCTTCTTATTACAATACAGGTCACTCTGAGTGAACCTCAAATTCTTTCAAGGATTTAAAGATACTTTTAAAAATTTGAGACATCTATAGCTTCTTTTTTTTAATCCTCATCTGAGGATATGTTTATTGATTTAAGAGAGGGAGAGACAGAGAGAGAGAAACATTGGTTAGTTGCCTCCCTTACATATGCAACCAGGGATTGAACCCAAAACCTAGGTATGTGCTCTGATCAGGAATCCAACCTGCAACCTTTTGTTGTATGGGATGACACTCCAACCAAATGAGCCATCAGGGCTGTATAGTTTCTTTTCAAGTTCAGTGTTCAGTAGTGCTCTGGTGTAAACCTTCCAGAAATGTGTGTGTATTGTCACTCTAGAGTGGCCAGTTCAGAACCTTGGCTGCCCCAGAAATTCAGCTTCTTATGGGTTATTTGAATGAATAATATTTGTTGCTAATCCTTTGTAAGACTGAAAAAAATTTATACGATAAACTGCAACGATGCCGGGTGGTCATATGTGAGTTTTAAATATACATAATATGCTCTGCTCTAACTTATTTTAAAATACTACAGAATTCAGAATCCAATCCAGTGGATAGAAAATCTCTGTTTCAAAAGTAGTTTTTTTCATGATTAGCTATTGTGATTGTATTTTATAGTGTCACAGGTGCCCCTTGAATTACCCATTCTTTTTTGGGGGGACATTAACACGTGTTAGGTGTAGTTCTTTCTAGGCGCCTGTACTAGGATAATGCTTCACATTGAAGGATTCTATACTGCTTTCAATTGAGAAACCTACAGGAGGTTAGGTGGTCTCCCTTAGAAGTACCATCATAGAGTAGTATATCTAGATCATTTTTGTCAGATTTTCCTAACAAATGTACACTTTGAATAGATAAATGAGATTCTGAAACTGGGCTTCCGCCTTTTACCCAATTAGTCAACCTTAGGCCTATTGAAAAACAGCGTCTCTCTCTCTCTCTCTCTGTGTATCTTTGTATTCTGAGAGTTTTTGAACACATGCAAAGGTAGTAAGAACAAAATGACTTTCCATGTCATTATATCATCTATTATCAATATTTTACTATTCTTGTTTTACCTGTTTCTTCATTTTTTTCTTGGAATATTTAAACAAGATTCCAGGCATAATATTTTTTTTACCTATACTTGAGTGCAATTCTTAGATTTTTGATGTTAAGTAAAAATTTGAAGCAAAAAAATAAGTTTATTTTTGTTTTGTGCCTGATATTAACTAGTTCCATCCTAATTAGCTTTGTTCCATATTGATAAGTTTATTTTTTCTAGGTTCATTTTCATCTTTCCTCGACTGACACCAAAACTCTATTTTGTTTGTCATAGCTAACAGGTATTACACTGGTTCTAGTATAAACTCAGCATGATAGCTACACTATTTATGTGTTACATTTATAAACTATTTAAAAACTTTGCTTTCACTTACCCATTGATGTGGTGATGTGCACTCTCCTGGGCATGGCCTAAGCCACACTGATGGAAAAACAGTAATAAAATAAAATAAAAACTTTGCTTTCATTGATTCTTTCTATTTCTTGGTAGTTAGATCATTAGCATAAGATTTTCAGGCATATATCATCACTTTTCTAATACAAGCTCTGAGTGTTTGCGCATAGGAATGCAATGGATATTTGGGTATGAGTTTGTAAATGGGAACTGGGTCACTGCAGTAGACCTTAGCAAAATGTCTTGGATTTTATCTGAGTTAGGAATTATTCTACTTCACAAGACAGTCCCATGTGTGTTTCTGCTCTGAAATTTCAATAAATTGACTAGTTTTAAACACACAACTGAAAGAACAGGGGATATTTTTGATAGTTTCCTACTTTATTTCTATTGTCTGTATGCTCAGACCAGCCATAATATGTGTGACTCAGTCACTGGTATCTTTTCAGCAGAACTCCCCCCTCCATACACCACCACCGCCTGTCCAGATACTGGTGGCATTCCAGTGATAAACTGTCGTGTGTGCCAATCACTCATCGACTTGGATGGCAAACTTCACCAGCATGTGGTTAAGTGCACAGTTTGCAATGAAGCTACAGTAAGTGAAATTTCCATTAATAAAAGCATCAGCTGTTATCTGACATCTTCTCCCTTAAGGAAGTATACCAATAATGTACTTTAAAAGTAAATGTGGGCACAGATATGGCATATTTTTATCGTTTATTTCTTGTCTCTGACTGTCTCTCATTTAACATACAAGGGTGCTTCAGGTGTTTAATTTAAAGCTTACTTCATTACAAAAGTATCATGGTGAATTTAAATATAATATCATTTGGCTCTTTATTTTCTAAAATGAGATTGACCATAGACATTTATTTATAATTATCTTCAGTGTCTATCTACCTCACAACGAAATCCATTCCGATTTTCACTGAAGTTAAAATATACTGAAGTACACCACAAATGTGGACTTGGTACTTATGTGGAAAATTATTTAAATTTATTTTATGTTTGTGGAATGTCAGTAGTTTTTTTCTGGTTATGATTTATTATTGACTTCTGTGCCAAATTATTTACAAGAAGTTTGGTGTTTTATTACATTTACTTGACACTAATTTAGTGAAATGTTAAAAAATTTTTGAAGGACAATTTGTTTTTTACTGAACTTTGGGAAGAGCAATTAAAGTTTAAGTAAAATTTTTAGAGATTCAAGTAATAAACTGGTGAAGTGCATACTGGTTAGAGTAAATATATTTCTGCTTTTATGGTTAGGCTTTATATTTTAAATGTCAATCTCCTTTAAATCTGCAATTAAATAAAATTTAATTTTTGTTATTTGTATTATTTTCCTCTTTAAAAAATCTTTGAAAAGTCATTTAGTATTATTGTACTTCTAAAAAACATCAAATATAGATACTGGGCTTTATATAAAAGCCCAGTATCTATATTTTATTTTATATAAAAGTGATAAAGTAAAACCTTAAGTTACAAAATAATATATTCTATTTTAAATATTGTTTCTATAAAGGACATTATTTGGAGAACTTTTTTGTATGAATAGGTGATAACAAAACCAGCTATTTTTTTAAGTTGAACACTTAGTAAATTTAATTAGCATTAACCTCCTAAGTGCTCTTTTTAGAGTTAGCAAACAAGTATGAAGTGTTAGACATAATTAATAATTTTAGCCCTGGCTGGCGTAGCTCAGTGGATTGAGCGCGGGCTGGGAACCAAAGTGTCCCAGGTTCGATTCCCAGCCAGGGTACATGCCTGGGTTGCAGGCCATAACCCCCAGCAACCGCACATTGATGTTTCTCTCTCTCTCTCTCTCTCTCTCTCTATCTCTATCTCTATCTCTATCTCCCTCCCTTCCCTCTCTAGAGATGGGTAAATAAAATCTTAAAAAAAAAATAATAATAATAATTTTAAAAAGATACCAAAGGTGTCCTTAGATTTGATATTAATTGTTTCTTTTGTTCCTCCACTGTTTTGTTTTTGTTTTGGGAGATGCAGCAAAACTATGCTCAGAGACTGATTCTGTCTTTGATTTATCACAGGTTTGTCACAGGAATTAGAATAATCTCACAAGGCAATAATATATAATACAAGACAATATCTCTTTAAAAGCCAGGACAGAAATAGTACAATTCAAACAAATGGCAAATTAATCATGCTATTGTTCCAGGCAAGAGGAGACAAAAGGAATAAAATCCAAATTTAACAGAGTTGGACCTGTTACAGAGGATTTCTCAGAGAGCCAGCTTCAACTGACTTCCAGCTGCCAGCTCCAAAATCAAAGTCCCTTGTTGCTAGGTTATGCTGCTACGGAACCAAGGCTCTGGTGTTGTCTCATAGGCTGCCTACTTTGGGGATTAGGACTCCAGGGCTGGTGCACAGTTGAGAGCCACAACCACCCAAAGAATCACCTTGGCTAGGGCAGGAGTAAGTGTTTCAGTATCTTCAGAGAGCTGTCCAGCAAAGTGTTCCTTGCTCAGCCAGAAACCCTCCAACAGTCTTTATAACTATCAGTATGTAGCCTAAAGATCCCCTTGCCATAGTTACTTCTCTACCTGGTCTTGTGAATAAGCCCCTAACTGGGCCCCTCAGCACCGGAGCCACTGGGTGCTTATCCACAACAAAGGAGCAGGTGGTGATGTCCTAACATAACTTTACTTCTGAAAACAACCTTTTTAAATCTTTGCCATAAACAAATGGATTAAAACAACTTCCTTTAAGCAATAAACAGATGAATTTGAAATCATATCAGACAAGTATACAACACTCCAGCTATACAAACTTTCATTTTTTAAAGAATAGGAAAAAAGGCATTTTAAAACTTTATACTTGCACTTGGAAGTAAACAAAACGGATTAGGTTATTTATGCAGGAATCTAAAAGTCACTGTGGATTTAGCCACCACCCTCAATTTGGCTACTTAGAGGTGATGAGTTTATACAGGACCAAGAGGATTTGACTACAAATAAATTACTTCTGGACATAAAGAAAATTGTGCTGAAAATTTTATACCATCATGCACCCCTGGTATATAAAGAAATGTAAATAATTGTGAATATTCCAGAGAAAATGGGTAGTATTCAATCAGATTGCCTTGGGTGAAATCAGTAACATTATAAGGAAGGAAAAAAAAGTTTTTGAGGAGTTCTTTAGCATTACTTACTAATGTTTGTGTAATTTGATATTAAAGTTATGAATTTAATGAGGTGTTAGGCAATTAGGAACTTCTCTGTAGACATTCTAGATAGAAAAGAATACATATAGTGAACCAGGGTGGAACATAAAAGCTCAGTTTTACTGTGATTCATTGTCCTCAGGTCAACCAGGAATGTGAGGAATTTGATATTCCTGTGGAGATGAAAAAAACCCCATACAACAACAATAAAAACAAAAAGCAAAGCTAACAAAAGTCCTTTTTATTTCAGTAAATAGAATTGGAAAGGGAAATAGGGATGTGTCAGAGAGAGAGAGAGAGAGAGAGAGAATATGGATAAATTTTAGCAAACTTTAGAGAATACAAAATTTAAGGTTAAAGGAGAATGGATTTCTAAGATAAGTTAATGGAAAATTTGAGAAGTCCTGAAGAAGAGTGGAGCTAGTTGGCTACAGAACTGATGATGAATCAGATTCAGAGATCAACACACTGGAGTTTGAATCTTAACTCTGCCACTTAGTAGTGATATATGCTGGAGGGCTTCTCTAAATTGTGGTTTCCTCTTGAAAAATGGTATAATAATAATAATACCTGCCTCATAGTGTTGCTGTTGGGGGTAAAGTACCCAGCATAACATGCTTAGAACATTCAAGTTTACTTTGCCAAGTAAGAATATTAAAACTTCTGCATAAAGACAATGTCATTTCCCACCTTTCACTGCATACCAGATGTGACATGGCCTGGGCTGGCACTGAGGCTAGTGCTTGAAATTTTCTTGTTCAATTGCCTTGTTTACAAGATGAGGAACACTAGAAGTGTGATGGGAATAAAATAGAAAGTCTTTTCATTTTCCAAGCACATGTTTGCTTAACAGCAAAATTTGGTTATATAAAAATTAAGCCAAATTCTGGTTTTCTGGATATTTTAGATAGTATAGTAATACATTCTAGATGTTCATTAGTTTTAGATATTCAGATTTATTTTCTCTATATTATGGTTTAATAAGTTATAGGTGGCTTATTCCTAACTTTTACATATTTCTACCAAAATCATTAACTTAAATTTTTAAAAATCTTTTAAAAATAAGTTTTAGACTTACAGAAAAGTTATAAAAAATAATAACAGATGGTACAGAGAATTCCCAAAGGCTCTTCATGCACAATCCTCAAATATTAACATTTTGCTACATTAATTTTCTCCTCTGAATAAATCATCATTTTTCATAATCTTTTAAGATAATTGCAGACATGTTGCTCATCTACCCCTAAACATTTTAGTGTGATTTTATTTAAAAATAATATATCTACTTACACAATTATAGGAAAATTATCATGTGCAAGAAATTACCATTGATACAATCTGTTATATAATCTTTTGACCTAATTCATGTTTGTCCAATATTCTATTAAAATTAAAAATCTGGTCAAGAAATCAGTCTAGAATTACATGTTGCATTTGGTTGTCATGTTTTTTAATCTTTCTGTATCTGAAATTTAAGTTATTTCTTTGCCCTTTATTACCTTGGCATTTTTTCAAGAGTACATGGAGTTTCAAGAGTTTCAAGAGAAGATTTTTGTAAAATGTTCCTGAATTTTGCCCTGGCTGGCGTAGCTCAGTGGATTGAGTGCGGGCTGCGAACCAAAGCACCGCCGGTTTGATTCCCAGTCAGGGCACATGTCTGGGTTGCAGGCCATGACCCCCAGCAACCGCACACTGATGTTTCTCTCTCTCTCTCTCTCTTTCTCTCTCCCTCTCTCTCTCCCCCTTCCCTCTCTAAAAATAAGTAAATAAAATCTTTTAAAAAAAAAGTTCCTGAATTTGGGTTTATTTGATGTTCTATCAAGATTACATTCAGATTATACATTTTTGGCAGGCATGCCACAGGAATGAGGTTATGTTCCTCTCAGTCCATCATAGAAATTTACTTTAATAAGTTTGAGTCCTAGGATTGAAGGAAGTGTTGTCTTTGGTATTATTTATTCTGGCTTTAAAAATGATTGTAAAATTAAAGAAAAAAAGTAATGCTAGCATTAAGAGCTATTGTAAGTTTTTTTAGAGTTAGAAGATGTCATAAAATTAATTACCTCTGATATTCTAGTGAGGAAAGTTTAGGAAAAGTTCAAATTTGTCATATATTCCTCTTTGCCTACTATTCTTGCAAAGTTTTCTCTTCCCAGACAGGCACATAAGCCCCCAGTGAATGTTTGCATCTGGTCAGATAGATGAGCCTGTTGTATGAATTTCAAAGGGAAAACAACTCTTGCTGTGCACTAAATATTTTTTCCCATATTAAAAGTCCCATACAAACTAATTTTGAAATATCTCTAGAGCCCCCAAACCTCCTGGAGTGCTCGCCATCATTTGAGCTTTTGAAAGCACTTATGATATACTTTTCCTTAAACTGTGCTTAGGTAGCATGACCTTAGTTTTTAAGGAATTATTGCTTTTCTTATACACAAACAAACTTTGGCAATCTGTACTTTGGTTAATTTTGCTGTGTTTGCATTTTCTTCCCTTATCTAGCCAATCAAAAATCCCCCAACAGGGAAAAAATATGTCAGATGCCCTTGTAATTGTCTCCTCATTTGTAAGGACACATCTCGGCGAATAGGCTGTCCGAGACCCAACTGGTAAGAGATGAAGACTCCATTCATTCATTTCATTCAAAAAGTATTTATTAAAGGCTCATATGTGCCAGGAATTATTCTAAACAGAGTCTTTGTCCTCATAGTAATTATAGAATCTAGATTATTTTTCTTTGGTAAAGGAATTACATGCTTAGTTTGAAATTAATGTCATAGGTATTTGTAAGATATAATATTCCTGAATGAGCAAGAGAAGTTTTCTTGGTATTATATACATAGTTAATGTACTATAATAAGTCAATTAGTTATTAAACATATTTTAAAGCAACTAGGTTGCCTTTGACATAGTTTGTCTTAACTTAGAAGTGTTTTCTGTTTTAATCATCATTGTGTATCTGCCATGTGCTGCACTAATTTTTAATGAGCATAATCTGTACAATTAATTCTGGAGTTATTTGCCCATGCCAAATGCCACCATTGATCTCCCCAGATTGTAGAATACCAAGACCCTTTTTTTCCCTGTGGTTTCTGGCTTTTGGACCAGTTCATAAATCATTTGCAACCCTGCCTGAGAGAAAAGGAGCTCTTCTACTTTCCTTTCTGTCCTACTGTGACTAAGTAGACATCAAGGAATACCAGCCTGCTCCAGGAAATGTGGCTGTGACTCAGCATATTGATACCTTCATGGCACACACTATTGGTTGATGTAGAATATTTTATTTTATTGAGTCTTCTACCAAATTCAAGTTGTCTTCCTAGATAGGGAATAAGAACTATTTTCTGATTTGAACTTATAGGAACTTACAAATGGCAGTTAAATGATTCTTAAATTGTTGCTTTTTGTTTTTGTTTTTTAATATTGACTATTGCTACTTTCTGTGATTTGGGCTCCAAAGCCAAATACTTAATTCACCTAATTTTTAAAACAATTTCTATAACCTATTTCCAATGCTATATTCTGTGGTTTGGGCCATACATCATAGGTTTTTCCTACCCCATTTGTGGGATAATGAAGTTGTTTCCTTTCTCTTCCCACAGTAGACGCATAATTAACCTTGGCCCAGTAATGCTTATTTCTGAAGAACAACCAGCTCAACCTGCATTGCCAATCCAACCAGAAGGTACAAGGGTTGTGTGTGGACACTGTGGAAACACATTCCTGGTAAGTAATCAGACATTTGTTACAGTGACATCAATCTGTAAGTGTTGAAAATGGTGTTATAGTTTTGTCCAGTGTAAATTGATTAAAAGATTAAAGTGGGGCCTTTTTAAGAAAGATAGTAAATCAGACATACAACTAGAATATTCAGTATATTCTGTGAATTAGACAAAAGGTGCATCCTCTGCTTGGTTCACTTGCAAAAAGGGGCCTCTCTGGGTACGCTAAAGGAGAGAAACAGCACTAGTTCCTGTTGGCCTGACCAGTACCAGAATCCCGCCCCACCCTAACCTCCGCAGTGGAGCACAAAGTGCGGGTTTATAGATTCAGGAAAAAACTCTTCCTATAATTTATCAAAATTTTTCTTATTTAGAAAATAAACTTGAAATATAGGGAATTAACTCTGGTATTTGTAGTTAGACAAACTACTGGGTAAAAATTTAGAAGGTATATAATTTGATATGAGCAAAATTTAAGTACTTATTTTACTGCTTTTACACTTAACCCTAAGTTTGATTTTTAAAAGTTAATTTCATAATGCCTTACCCTTTCAGGTAGGGTAAATATAGGCTTCCTTTTGTTATTCAGCCTTTATAGGAGACAAAAAATTCCCTAAGAAAATTCAAGAAACCTACATAAGGTCAGGCATGGGCAGAGCTTAGGAGATTGAAATTTCCATATAAACAAAACTTGTCCCTAAGGGCTGAATGAGCTTAAGAAAGTATAGATGATTTGCTTTTTTTTTCTTCCAACTTTTATTTTAGTAATTTGTGCACATAATTTCAAATGTCAAATAGGACTATAAAGATTTATTGGAAAATCTTGGTCATCTCTTTATCTAACTCATCCCCAAATATCGTCCCACAGAAGCTTTCATCTCTTTCAGCTTCTCTGCTGATGTTTACTTCCATATGTTTAAATTATTTGCTTATCCTTTTTCTTTTCGATTAAACAATTTTAGATATTACTTATTACCTTGTAAAATGCTGATTGAGGATTTAGCACTCATCACACCCCTGCCCCGCTCATATTTTTTCTCATTCCATACTCCCAGTAGAACTATAATATTTTATTCAAGTAAACTTAGTGTTTGCATTTCTTATAATTAAGTAATCTATGCTCACAGCTGAGTCAAGTAATGTACTTTATTTCTCTCATTTATGGCTTTAAAATTTTCTTGAATTTGTTAATAATTTCCCCTACCCCCCTGGCTGGCGTAGCTCAGTGGATTGAGCACCGGCTGCGAACCAAAGTGTCGCAGGTTCATTTCCCAGTCAGAGTAAATGACTGGGTTGCAGGCCATGACCCCCAGCAACTACACTTTGATATTACTCTCTCTCTCTCTTTCTATCTCCCTCCCTTCCCTCTCTAAAAACTAACTAACTAACTAACTAAATAAATAATTATTTATTTATTTAATAAAAAAATAATTTTCCCTCCCCTCTTGAATTTAATTTTGTCTGTACAAATAATTAATTATTCATTTTCTTTCACAGTGGTATAAAATTTCTATCAGTATAGTCAAGGAATCTATTATTTCAGCTTCCTGCCTCACAGTTGTCACCCTTGAACTTCCCTTCATATTATTCTTGGAATTCCTTGTACCTTTTCCCTTGTGGGATCCCTGGGAAATAAACTTGAGGGAGTTTATTCCCTCAAGTGGTGCATATCTTCTCTTAGCTTTCTGAGAAAAGATGCAGGAAAATAAATTTGAATGCTTTTACTTCTTAAACAGTTTTAATGTAACCACACATTCACTTTATAATTTGTTCAGATTTAGAATTATAGATTGACCATTGTTTCCTCTCAAACATTTTAAGGATTTGCTCTGCTGTTGAGAAATTCAACTGCTGGGACCCTTTTTCTTCTTTATAGTCCTCTTTCCTCCTTTATTTTGTCCATAGCTCTGAAATTAGTCAATGTGCCTTGGGGGATATGTGTGCAAACTCACTGAATTGCCAGTGGCTCCTCCTAGTTCACTCATTTGCTTTGTTCCCTTTTTCTGGGACTCTATGATAAATCAACTCCACTGACTGACTGACTCTCTCTCTCTCTCAACACTTTATTTTCCCTTTTGGCTTCTTCTTTTACTACTCATCTAAATTATTTTTTAACTTCTATGAGTTTCCTTGTGTTGTCTGATTAATTTTTCCTTTTTCTAAAGAGCATTATCTTCTTTATAACATCTTTTTGCAGCTATTATATTTTTTCTGAGATTTGTTCTTTTTTATGCCTTGTCTCTGTTTTCTACCCACTTTTCTATCTGTTTTCCTTTGGTGATAGAGACTTTACTGAAAAGTTTATTTATTGGAGGGCAAATCTCTGACTGGCATCTCTAAGCATGCAGCAGGAGTTAAACTATTTCTTCATCTTCTTTACCCTACCTCTCTCAGCTCTCCCCCTACTCTCCACCTTCTCCTTTTGTGAAGAATTGTCAACTACTACTATCAATAAGTCATTTTTCTTTTAGGTTAAGTTTCTATGGGATGTTCCATATCTCAGATTTCTTGTGAGGGATATGCTTGGAAGATACTTTCTAGGAGATAAGAAAGGTAATAGGATGAAAGTCTCATGCACTGTTCAAACTGTAGACTTTCTCTTGGTTCCTGTTTTTAGAATGCTGTCTTATTCTTGTCCTCTGCTGTGCCTAATGTTGTTTAGGTCACAAACCTCTAGTCCATTTCCTTTCAGAATGAACCATTCTTCTCTTGCATGTTTTGGGGGAGGAAAGGATCCTGATATTGTGATATGGAAGGAAGTACAAGCAATACTCTTGTTTTTACCACTACCCCTAAATTCCACCTTTGAGAGAAAGCACCTGCTAGCTCCAACACCTGAGCTGTCTCCTATTCTTCATGTGAACCAGCCTGCTTTTCTCTAATAGGACCTCTGCAGGTGGTCAGGCACCCTTTCACAAAGTTAGATGCCATGTGTACATCAGCTTTCCACTGTCTGAAAATCTGAGGCATTTCTCTTCTGATTCTCTTTGTCCTTATTGTATTATACATTTTAAAATCCATTTACTATCACTTTACTCAGGTTTGGGCAAGGAAACAGAAATGTATACATTTGTCCAACCTACTACATTTAGCCAGAATTTCTAGTATTTTTCTGATTTAAGAGAACAAAATAAATCCTTTCATTTATGTTCACTGATTAAATAAGCAACAAGTACACAGATTGGAGGATATATACTTGGTGAGGGTCTTTAACACATTTTTAAAAAAATATTATCTATTGATTTAATATAGAATAATACACTGCATGTATTGATACATTTATTATTTTAACTAACTAAAATATCTTTTTCTTTCTTATGTATAAGCAAATTATATTTTGAAATTCTATTTTGAAATCTTCAAAATTGATTTTTTCCACTTACTTTAATGAGCACCCCTCCATTATTACCTTACATTTTGCCTAGTTATATTGTATATTCCAAATCCTTGCCACAGATAATCTTTGTAGTCACATTATAAGTCAGCTGACTGTATTTGTTCAAAAATACATATTGAGTGAATTTCAGGGATGGGGCTAAGTTATTATCTAACTAACTGTGCTGTGCTTTTATTATCTAAAAAAAAAGTGCTGTGGAGAGAGGAAGGTACCGTCTCTGCCCTCATGGGTTTTTCTAATCTAATAGGAAGAGAAAGACAATTAAAACAAGAATTATATGAAATACAGTGTTCTTAGTGCACACATAGAAGTGCCTAGCCTAGAGGAAGTGACATTATCCTAAGAGCAGTAGAATGCTATATATGGCTTTATAATTAATTCTGCATATATGGATTCTGTGCACAGAATGGATTGCATGGGGGCAAGCCTGAGGAAGCACAATAGTACATGTTTGGCTTTTGTCATTCAGAAAAGTGATGATCATGGTCGGGAATAGCATAAGAATTTGAGAGGGAGAATTGATCATACGTACTAATAATAGGGTAGATAGATAGATAAGGGAATAAAGAATAAAGACAACTATTTTAAAAGTTTGTATTTAATTTTTAAAATAATCTGGTAGTGAATTTTAGAGAATGATCCAAATTGAGAAGTTAGATAGATATGTTTGTGATATGATTTTTATTGCTTAAAGAAGTTTATACATTTAGATATTTTCCTTCCAGGAGAAAATCACTAAAGTAATATGCAAGCCAAAGACTAATTTCTAAAACTGGTACTTTCTTACTTAATAATCATTGCAGGCAACTGAATCATATTAGCATATTGACACAGTTTTTATGATTAGAAACTGTAATTTTTTTTAGCAGGAAAGGGTGTTTTGGATTAATATATGGTATTTGAAGTTGATTTCAAAATTCCTAGAAAACAAAGTGTTTAGTGATTAAGATAATGCAGTATATATCTATAGGATGACTGTTACCCTTGAGAGTTTGAGATAAATGAGAAATGCTCAGTGTATGAAGAACAAACTAGCTGCAAATTTCTCAATTCTGAGCTGAGAACTTTGCCTTATTTTTATATTTATGCTAATCATAAATGTTCATATCCTTTGTAGTATGTTCTTTCCCCTTAAAGCATTTAACTGTTAGGATCATTCATTTGCTTATTCTCTACCTTGTTTTCCCCTTGACTTACAAAGCCCAGAAAGAATTGAGACAAGTCACAGAGTTCAATAGCATTGAAAATAAAATATCAAAAAATCAGGGAGAGTGAAAACAAGGGCAGAATAAAATGCATAAGAATATAAGTATGCATAATATTTCATACCGGACAGTTGTTAAAATGAGACTAAATTTTAGTTGTGAGTCTTCTAAAGTCAATGAAAGGAAGAAAACACAGTTTATTACAAGGAGAATATGCTTTTAAAAAGTCACGTAAGAGAACCTTTATTGGAAAACTGCAACTCAAAAGAGAATTATTCCCATGGATTAAAATAAAAGAGCAATACAATGAGCAATCAGATCCTCAACAACATTTTTTATTACATCAATGTTATAAAACGAATGTTAAATTTAGTAGGAATGCACACTATTCATACTGTTTATTTCACAGCCTGGCTAGAATCAGGGATAATGTTTAGAAAAGCTAAATTTGTGTTTTCCAGAGTACATTCAATAGAATACTCATTTTCTAGAATAATAATAGGTATTATGTGAGTAAAGAGTTCCATGGTCACTGGGATTTGTGTGAATAAAAAAATTACACACAAAAAATTTTACGGCAAAATTCTTTGTCACTTTTAGCATGTGTCATTGCTAATATCCTGGAAGTGGATTTAATATGGTATGTAAAAACATTTTTTAAGCTCTAAAATATTTTGTGGGGATCATTGAGCCATATTGTTTTGAAGGACATTGCTTAGAATATTTTGCAGAAGAATAAAGGGAATATATAGCCTTCAGCTAGTCCTGCATGAATATAAGGAAACTTCTTAAGACATCTGAACAGTAGAGAGTTGAATTACTTAGAATTGAAAAATTATGAAAAGAGAAATGAGTGACATGAAATCCTAAACAAAATTAATTTTAATAAAAGAAAAGTTGTTTTCTTTTAGTTCTGTTATGATAAAACTGTTAATGTGCTTAAAGGAATTCTAAAACTATAAAGGAAATATAAACTTTACAAGAAAGCATATACAAAAGTAAAGAAGATAGAAGGTGAGAAAAGCATTTTAAAATTTTTTTTTTTTTTGTGGTAAAGATTTACTTTAAATTTATACTGTACATTCTTTTAACCAGTGAACTTGCTACCGGTAATCCATTTCAAGTATCTGCATAACACTCCTGTGAGGAAGGTAGCCTGTTCTAGTACCTATATGTACAGGGAAGGAAACTGAAAGAGAAGATTGCATCACAGGACTGTGTTTTGTTACATAGACTAAGCAAGGACAGAACAGGAAGTAACTTTCTAACCTGAGTTATACATGTATCCAATATGTTTAGTTTATTTATTTTGTGGATTTCCCACATTAATAGGATAAAGGCTGCATTTTAGTAATAAATCTAACTGTTCATGTATTTAAAAGGCTAGTTCTCAAGATTTAAAGTAAAAAAACTTTGAAGATACATGAAATAAGTTTTTATACTCTAGGAGTAAACTAAGACATAAATCTGAAAGAAATGACCCTAAATATAGCAGTACATTCAGTTTTCTTTGTAAAGCAAACCCAGTTGCGTCAGAACCTTGGAAAAATCATGGGAACTGTTTCAGATGGGAATTCCAAAGTTTATTTTAAGACAAGAAGGAGAAGTGTCAGAGGGAAAAGATCATACAGCCATGAGAAGATGATTGTTTTTCTGTGATCCATAATGACATTTGAACTAAAAGAAACATCTTATCAGATTGGATGATTTTTAGTTGCTTTTCTTTTCAATCCCTTTCTTTGTTTATTTTACAGTGGATGGAACTGCGGTTCAACACTCTGGCAAAATGCCCACACTGCAAAAATATGTAAGTTTTCTACCATTGGAAATGCTACTAGGCAATACTAGAGAACAGTTTAAAGATTCCAGAATTCTCATTTTGATTTAAGACATGCTATAAAATGAATGGATGCTTAATATATTCATGCTTTTCAAAACAAAAAAAGAAATCTTTAAAACTCAATATAGATTTCATTTTGAAATTTAAATGATTAGACTTGATTATCATTCTTTGAAAGGAAGTCAATTTCTAAGAAATTACTAAAATTATCAGTATCCTAGTAAATGTTACTTATCAGTAACATTTTCAAATGTCCTGAGAGGTTATAATCTATTGAAAATAATAAAAAATTTATATTTAAAAAATAGGCTACCATTTAAGAGAAAAGGTAGTTGTTAGCTCTTCTCCTCTCCTACCTAAGATTATTATCTGATGGCAAAGCTTACATAATTATTTATCTACCTGAACTATTGAGTCTATTTCTTTTTATTTCTAAATTGTGTTCTTAAGGAAAATAAAAGACAATGTAACAATGGGGAAAATAGAAGATATTTTGATTAAAGACATTTTTATGGCAACTGTGTTGGAGGTCCCCAAGTCACCCCAAGATTCCATGAATTTCTAAGGGAACTATTAGGAATTAGTACTAAATGTTTGTACTCACAACTATGATTTATTAGTGTGAAAGGATACATAGCAAATGAGCTACAGAAAAAGGCAATGGGGCAAGGTCTAGAGGAAAGAGTAGCAAATTTCTGAGTTCTCTCCCAGTGGAGTCACACAGGGCCTCCTTAATTCCTCTAGCAACAAAGTGTTGCAACTCACATGAAATGTTATCTATGAGAAAGGCTCATTAGAGACTCAGTGTCCATGGTTTTTATTGGAGCTTGTACCATAGGCACCTACTGCATGGCATGAACCTGATTTCCAGAGACCCAAAAGGAAAGCAGGTGTTTAGCATTAACCATATTGTTTTCACTATTTAGGCATTTTAAGCTACTCTTTTTAGTTAGGGAATAGTGGAAACTTTCTAGAAATCTAAGTTTCTGGATGCCAGCCAAGGGCCAACCTAGCAAGCAGGTCTTTCTAAGGACTGCAGTCTCAGGACTGCTGAATTAACAATAGTCTGCCTGCACAACGTCTATTTAGATAATAAAATTTGAATTTAAAAATTATTATTCTCAACTTATATGTGTGTGTGAACTATAACTTAAGGAAATTAAACTGGAATGTTTTGACAATTCAGTTTTGGATATTGAAAATATTAGTTCTTAGTTTATTTTGTGTGAGCCTTAGTATGATATGATGTGGACACTGGCCCGCAGTGTCCGCAGTGTTATGGATGAGATGAGACAAATTCACATGGACTACAGAAATCCTGTGGAGAAAAAGGGATGGCATGGCCACTTTTTCAGTGAAAGAGAGGGCCAGCCCTGTCCCTTGCCTGGACAGGCTTTTATTGCTTTTCTGGGCGCATTACCTTGAGGATGGTCATTATTTACTATTCATAGGTTCACTTTAGGTGGTTACCTTTTACGGAAAACAAAGGAGATGATGCTGCTAATTACATCACAGAAGAAGGATATTTGCAAATGCAAAGAAAAAAAGTGGTTGAACTGGTTACACTCATCCTTGGGAGGTTTAGCATAGATTTTAGGAGGTTACTTTAAAGATATGCAGTGAATGTTTGCTGCCTCAATTCAGGGTGAGGGAGGTTTAGCAAAAAGCAAGTCTCAAAGCGGCCTGATTCCCCATGGGACAACCTGTCTGGGGGCATGGGTCCTGTGTGCCAGACCTCACTTTCCACTGGCCTTTCCAAGGGGGAATGGGGCTACATTTCCCATGCCAGGCAGAACAGTCTCCTATAATGATATAAATACCTTATCAATTTTGATAGCAGAGAAATCCTAAGAATGATTTCTAGGAAAAAATAATTAAAAACTGCCTGAGAAATAGAGAATATATAACTAAATATCTCCCTTTATTGCTACTCAAACTGATTCCAGCTAAATATAGCCCTGAGAGAATAACTCTTTGCAGCCTATTTCTAGCTTCAAAGGGATAGATATTTCTTTTTATTTATTTGTGAAATCTATCATTTGAATTCTTGTCTTTGTTGAATCAGTTAGAAGTGTGCATATGGAAAAACAAAATGAATAACTACAAGTAAGTATGCAGAAAATATATATACTATAGGGACACCCCCCCCACACCAGTATGTGAATGATCCATATTTCTGTGTATTATCTGTATTTTCACAAGAACAAAGAAAATTAAATTGTAGATATCTTCACTGAGAACATTAAATTGAATTGTAAATTCTGTAGAAAGTAAAAAAAGAAAAACAAAGACTTTTTGCGATTAGCAGTTTCTGTGCTAAGCACAGTGATAATTGCTTTTAGATGAAGACATACTACCTGTAATCCATCCCACGATCTAGGAATATAAGAGTTATTATCCTCATTTTACAGATGAGGAACTGTTAGAGTGGTTAAAGATTTAGCTGAAGTGATTTTGCTTGGTTAATTATTTTAGAACACTGGCAATATTTTGCAAATAATAAAGAAATATTGAATGCCTAGATATTCTGTGATTGGTTAAAACATCACAAGACGGTGTATTAATGTGAAGAAAAACTTTTATCAATTACTTAAGAAACAACTTATGTAGAAATTCACATGGACTAAATAAGCTTAAACAGTATTCTAGAGGAATGCTGATAGAATTGGAATCACATGCTAAACATGGGAGGCCTCAAGGCATTTATCTGAGCAGAGATGCTGTTATCACATGAACACTCAGAGCTGGTATCTGGATTTCTTTTTCCTTTGAATGTTTTTCTTCATAACAAAATGATGAATCATCTGTTGAAGTAATTTTCTGATACAGAATTTTATTTCTTTAAACACAAATAACAAATATCCTAAAATTATTTTTAAGCTATAAGAGTTACTGTTACAGAACAAAGGTGGGGATCCTGGGATCATATACTATTACCCGTAAGGAACCCCGCAGGTTTGTTATGTCCGCTGCCAGAGGAAAGACATCTCTCAATGCCAGAGATTTGTGAAAAGGAAAGGAAATGTTTATTTAATGCTGTACAGACTTAAAGTAGTGACCTAATGTCTTCATCAAAATCCCCAAATCCCTTAAAACACCCACAAACACACACAGTCCTTCCTTCCCCCTTTGCCAGTCCGGGGTACCATATCTCAGGAAAAGAAATAGAAGTCCGTGGCTCAGGCAGCCCCTGGTTCTTCCCAGTAATCTGTCTCAACTGGTAGGCCTCCCTCGGTTCCCGGCATCATCAGCTGTGTCGCCAGGATCTCTGCTAAAGCCGGGTGGTGGTTCCCCCTTCTAAAGCTACAGGAGTCCCCACTCTGGCAAAGCCACGTGGCTCTCCTTTCTATTGCCCCAGCCATGTGGTCCTTCCTGCACAAGGGCCGTGGGAGTCCCCACTCTGCCAAAACTGTGTGGTTCTCTCTTCATTGGCTGTGAGGAGGGGGATTGCCACTCTGCCAAAGCCAAATGGCAATTCTCTGCTAAAGCTGCATGGTGATTCTCTCTCACAGGGCTGTGAGAGTCTCCACTCTGCTAAAGACTGAGTGGTTCTCTCCTCAATGGCTGCCATGTCTGGGTTTAAATGTCCATGCCAATCTTCCTCTGCAGCCCCATTTCCAACTCCTCCCACCATTGGCTACACTTGCCAGCACTCCCACATCTTTCCAGCTTTACTGGGCTGCCATCGTGAGTCTGGGCAGGTGTGGCCCCATGTCATGGAGCCAATCTTCTCCAAGCTCCCATGCAGGCACTGTAATTCAGGGGACCTGCCCCCCAGTTACGTCTTGGTGGGGAAGTTACTTCCATTCCCCTGGCTCAGAGCATGGCCCCAGCTATTTAACATATCTGTGCAACTAGTTAAAGGTTATAGATATGTTAAATGACCACCTCAGAGGTTAGCTGCAAAGCTTTTGCTATGCAAAACAGCTCTCAGTGGCCCTGTTCCACTTGTCCCTTCCCCCAACTCACACCTGTGGGGGGGTGAAAACATCTTAATATTTCCTGGACACCCTGAGTTCTGGACCCCATTCCAAATCCCTATTAGGGGTCCCCCCTCTTGGCTGCACCCTGTTACATTACTAAATCATTACTGTGAAACTATCAAAAGACATGTAGGGAAAGCTTCCCTCAGGGGCCCTGAGACCATGAAGTCCTTTTTCATATCACTGTTACTTACTCATACAATCACGGCTTAGTTGTAGCTGATGGTGAGGTTCATTTTCAACTGGGCACCTGTGGCTACTGCTGGCCAGGAGATGAAGTCCTAGAATTCTGAAATACAAGCTAGGTTGCATTTCTATGCAAGTGTACTAACAGGCCTAAGACTATAGAGATGGTGATGATAATGATCATTAAATATGATTTCTGTATATTACTAATATACTTCTTTGTGGATTACCTCCTACCATTTTAAACAACAGACTCTCTTTTATTTTGCTATTTAATGCTTTCTTTTATATTATTCATGAATTCAACAAACAGTCCTGTGCTAGGTACTGTGCTCAAAATAAAAGATATAACTTGCCTTCAGGGGATTTCATCTTGTGGGTATAAAAAAAGAGAGTAAACAATCACAGCCAAGTCTTAAGTGTTTGCTAGATTGGCTGTCTTCATCCCTTGAAATTCAAATCCATCCATCTGCTTTTCAAACCACCAATCTTGGATTAACATGGCCATGACTTCTTCCTTCTTTCACCCCAAGATAACTGAGAGCTGAGGAAATTCTATATTGATTAGCTCATTACACGCATATAGCTTTACACTTAGCTAAACCCTTGCTTAGTATTCCTTTTTCAAGTGTTCTTGATTAACTCCCACCCCTAGCCCTCAAGTAAGTCATCTTCAGATAGTTACTGTTCCTCTGAAATGTCCATCCCTTGTACCCACTACTCGTTTTCTCAGCAAAGGAATTGCCTCATTTCTCTCTGAGATGACTGAGACTCTCTGTGAACTCCCTGTCCTCTCATGTCTGTCCTACTTAGAAACTTATCTGTATTTTTGCTCACTTAATTTTTTATTCTCAGAACAAAGCAGATCTCTTCCTTTCATGTGATCTTGGCACCCCATTCTCTCTGGAGTAAAATGCAGTTAGCCACGAGGCCACTGAACTTGTTCTCACAAAATTCACATCCCAACTGCAAGTACTAATAGATCTGCTCAGTCTTCATCCTGCTTGTTTTTTCTGTAGTGATTGGTTCTGTTGATTATCCTGTTTGTTTTTTTAACATTTATTTTCTTAGTTTCCAGATACCATTTTCTCCTATTTTTCTCTCACTTCTTAGAGCATTGCTTTGCTGACTTCACCTTTGTTGACTTCACTTTCTCTGCCAAGTTGTCAAATATTTTTATTCTCCAAGGTTGTTACTTGACCACATTACATCTGGGCTTTTTCATAGGTTCCCCTGTTATTTGCATGTCAGTAAACCCAACCAATATGCCTTTAAATCACTCCTGCTCATTCTTCAGAGTTTCAAATATAACTATACAATCTATATTCACTATTTTACCTATTGTTGTTTCAACCCTTGTGTCCATACCCCTCTCAAACACATCATATCCAGCTTCTTTAACCCCATTCTGAAATTGATGATTATATTAATGTATTGAGGAATTTATTACATTAATGAATGTTGTCCCATCTACCCAGCTGACCAAGCTAGAAGCTCTAAGTGCATCTATATTCCCCATCTAAATGGAAACAAATCTCATCAATTCTGTTCGGCATTTTAATTCTGTTCTCTTCGTCTCACTGTTCATGCATTCAAGATCTCTACAAGACAACCACAGAAGCTTTCTCATGTATCTTCTAGCCTTTAGGCTTACAGTTTTATATCCATTTACTAGAGTGATGGTCCTCAAATGCAAATATGAATTTTAAATGCTCTGGCTTTAGATCTCTCAGTAGCTTCCAGATTCATAGCTATGGTGTACAGTTGTGTAGATTAAATGTGGTGGATACCGGCCAGCAGTATCCATCTTTGCTGCGGATGCTTGTCGAAACATGAGAAAAACATACACAGAGACAACCAGGTCCTGTGGGGAAATAGGGACAGAAGGTCCACTCTCTCCAGTGGAGAGCACCACGGCCACTCTCTCTAGTGGAGAGTACCAAGTCTCCATTCCCAAGCAGATTTTTATTAAGAATCCAGACAGTTTATGGATTCACAGTCTGGCAGAAAAGATCAAAAGAAGTAGGTGACTTACAAAGGTGCAGACAGAACCCCCGCTGTGATTCTGGGCAGAGATTGGAGTTTTAACATATTGCTTAAAGGGCTAGTTTTGGTTTCCTGTCTGTGCCTTCAGATTCTAATCTAATAACATCCTCCAGCAAACAGATCTCACAGGATCTTGCATATTCTATGTCCCACCCTGGGGATGCACCAACTCTGGTCTGGGCTGCACTGCCCCTGCTATTTCCACAGGCCTGAGTTAACAGAGAAGGCAAAGGCAGCCAGGACACTTGGATTTTTCACATCTACGCACAAAGATTCAGGCTTTGACAAAGCCAAGGGGGCAGAGGTTGATGTCCATCACCCCTTCATATCCACAGCCCTGAATCTCTTCCCTTAGGGCATTCCCATGTGATCGCATCTGTCTTAGATTCATTTTCTTTCTTAGAGAATTGTTACCCATCATTGACTGCTGATCATGCAAAGGGAACCAGGCATTAGAACAGGCAGCGTTCATGCCCGGGAAATAAGTTTTGTCTCCTTAGTGGCTTCTGGTCTGGAGGTCTTTCATTCAGCCTAAGTCATGGGGGGTTACAGCTTCCTGAGACCAGGCAGGGTGGTCCCCAACAGTTAAACACTGAACAATCCACAGAGGTGCTATTTCTATTGCTATCTTAGGTTTGGCTATTAGTGGCATATAAAGTATCCTGAGGAAAGGCATTTTCTACTTCTTGACATCAATGTACCCTATGGACTTATTATACGCCCCCTGCCTAAAATCCAAAAACAAACTACAAACTCTTTAGTAAGGTATATACATACAGCCTTCCAGGTATAGGTATTTACCTAACTTCTCTAGTGGTATCTTTGATAATGTTTTCTTCCACCTCTACACAACTCTGTATATACCTGCCTAAATAGTCTTCAATTTATATAAATATACAATATAGTTAGTTCCTTGATTCTGTCCCTTAATTTCATGCTGCTAGGCCTGGAATGACCTGGCTAATCCCTTTCTCATTCCTGTAAACCTGCAAAACACCTACTTAACTACACAATTGGCAGGTAGAGGCAGTGGCAGCAAGAGACTTGTTACCTGTGCTGAGTCAGTGGCATCATGAAGTCAGCCAGCTACAAGACCGAGGCTGTAAATTTACCTTCAAATTCCTATATGCAAGAGAAATATACTTTTTCTTAAGCTACTGTATTCTGGGTTTTGTTATTTGTCAACAAAAGAAACATCCAAACCTATCAGAATTTTTATGAGTTTATTTGAACCAAACTGATGACAATTGCCGGGAAGCAAAACCTCAAAAGACTGAGAAATTACTCCAGAAAATGGCCATTTTGCACCTTATTTTATACATTACAATTAAAAGAGGAGGCATAAGAAGGTTACATAAAATCCATTGGTGACAGATTAGAGAGTCAGGGAAAAAGGAAAGTGTGGAAACCTTGGGATTGGATAAAAAGTAAAATGATAGATAAAGCAAAGACCTACCTTTGAATTCTGCTCTGATCTTGATTATTTCCTTCCTTCTGTTCACTCTGGGCTTTGTTTGGTGTTGTTCCTCTAGTTCTTTTAGATGTAGAGTTAAGTTGTTTTTTTGCTTTCTGGTAATTGTCATCAGCTTGACTCAAATAAACTCATAAAAATTCTTACAGGTTTGGACGTTTCTTATGTTGATATGTGAGCTATCAACATAGGCTAAGATAGCCCAACACAAAGGGACAATAGATATGAACAAGCAGTTACTAGAAAAAGACAACAAATAGCCAACTAGCACTTGAAAAGATATTCAGCATGCTAGAAATCAGAGGTATACAGATCAAAACTTCAATGGAATATTATTCCAACTCATGAAATTGGCAAATATGAAAAAAAAAGAATGGAAGTGTTGAGGATGGTGAGGGGGAGCTCCATACGGTTTTGGTAGGAATATAACTTTGACATTTATTAAAGTGGAAGACATGTCTACAGTGCATCCCAGCAATTCTATTCCTAGGTATATGTTTGAGAAATTCCTGTGTATGTACATGAGGAAACCTAAGAGAGAGTTGAAAGCAGCCTTGTTATAATAGCAAAAAATTAATGTAAAATAACCCTGGCTATTCATCAACAGGGAAAGTAAACTGGTATTTTCATATAAAGGAAGATAGTCATGAAAATGAATGAACTAGGCCTCCACATATGAATATGGAAGAGTCTCATGTAGAGTATCAAGAAAATAAAAAGGCAAGTCACAGAAGCATACAATCTAATACATATTCATAAAGTCTTAACACATACAGAATAATACTATATATTACATACTGGTACCACATATGTATTCAAAGTATAAGAGATTTTATTGTCTATGCAATAGGTGCTTATTGGCCATTGCCTTATTCCTGTGATGAAATAGCACTTGGGTTGTAGAGGGATAGTAGGTTCTTTTCTGGGAAGATTTCCCAGAGGTAGTGACTATTTAAGTTGTGATGAAAATTGGCATGGGTTTTCTAAGCAAAATTAATGTACTAAATTGATTTCTTTTGGCCCACAGAAAAGCTGCTCCAATATTCATTTAGAATGTTTTGTGGTTCCATATAAATTTTTGGATTATTTATTCCAGTTCTATAAAATATGCTATTGGTATTTTGATAGGAGTTGTGTTGAATCTATAGACTGCTTTGGGTAGTGTAGACATTTTAACAATGTTAATTCTTCCTATGCAAATTTCTTTCTCCAATGAAAAGCAAAATTTAAAAAACATATTTGCCCTGGCTGGCGTAGCTCAGTGGATTGAGCGCAGGCTGCGAACCAAAGTGTCGCAGGCTCAATTCCCAGTCAGGGTACATGCCTGGGTTGCAGGCCATGACCCCAGCAACCGCACATTGATGTTTCTCTCTCTCTTTCTCCCTCCCTTCCCTCTCTAAAAAATAAATAAATAAAATCTTTTAAAAAAAACATAATTTAAAAGAACTTTTGACTTGTTCAATACATAATTCTAATAAACTTCATTGGTTCCCAATCCATGGTAGATTAGACTGCTGGAGGCAGATGCATAGGTACATGATTTAGTATTCTAACTGTATTGTTGACATAAAATCAAGATGGCTTTAAAAAATCAAATGGTATTTGTAAGATAACACTAATTTTCTACTCTGGAATTCAATTTTTGAAAATATATTTTTGTCTTGGAAAATCATTATTGACCACACTGTTTTTTTGTGAATATTGTCAATGACCAAGGCTTGAACGTTGTTTAAATCCACAATAATATATCACAAATTCAATATTTATGATTATGATTCATGTTAGTCCTTAAAATGACATTTTATGCATGTTCTTATCTCTCAAGCAGAAGAAATAAATGGAAGTGTGTGTGTTATTAAAGCCATAGATGAGTACTCACAGATGAAATGGAGAGTGATTATGTAAATAATGTTCTTTATTGCTCTCATGAATTTACAGTTCCTCAGTGGGTACTGCTCTTCCACAGAGACGCTGCTGTGCATATATTACCATTGGAATGATCTGTATTTTCATTGGAGTTGGATTAACTGTGAGTACTCTACTCTCTATTAGAATTCTTCCCTCTCAACTTTATCTCAAGCAAATGATGAGGCCTGAAGAGCCTGCCTCCCTGGCATATCAGGCCCAGAAACTTCTGAAGGACTGTGGGCAATTGGAAGTGCAGTCCGTGGACCTGTTTTCAGTGGATCTTGCCAGTTCAGGGGAAATGGTGTCTTGGGACCCCTCTGAAGCTCCTTGACATTGGGAACTTTACCACCTGTTTAACAAAAGCCCATTTGTTTTCACTTAATGCCAGAACCAATTTGGCCCCAGCCAAAGCCAAAGCAATACTCAATCAGCTATGGTGGTTCTTCTGTTTCTTCAAGTGAAGCACAGGTTATTATCAATGCTCACTTATTTTCAAAGGAGACTGGAACTAAACTGTTGATGTGGAGATGATCCCAGGAGAGGAGGAAGGGAATGATCTGTTTTGCTGCCATTTAGTTTCCATGCACCTTCGTTGCACCTGTCTGCATATCATTAGCCAGGTGGAATTATATACATTAAGTTCCTTTTAGAGATAACATGTTTTAGTGGGTTTCTTTGCTTACTTCATAAAAATTCATGGTTCCTATAACTAGTGGTATTATCTTATTAAATTTTACCCTGTCAGTGATAGTCAAAAGTACACCAATTCATATTTTATAGGGATTTTGTAGCCTCAGAGATACAGTTCATAAAAATCACATGTAAATCAACATAAATTCTCTAAGCAAGTAGTTTAAAATTTTTTCCGACATTTTATTTTTATATTGCTTTTTATTTCAGGTTGCCACCCAAGATTTTGCAAGGCGATTTCATGCAACCTATGTTTCATGGGCAATTGCTTATCTCTTAGGCTTGATCTGCCTCATCCGAGCTTGTTATTGGGGAGCCATAAGAGTGAGTTATCCAGAACACAGTTTTGCATAAGCTTGCTTACAAGTAAGCAATGCAGGCGAGAGTATCTAGCATTTGTTGATAACTTGCCCTGGACATTTTTAAATCATTTATCCTAATGAATTCCATTCTGGTTCATGTATGAAGTGTTAAGACTTTGGGAGTCTTTTATGAATAAAAGGTCATTGCACTGCATCATATGCAAATAATAGTTTGCCTTGCTGCTAGGTGTTCAAGCTCCAAGTAATAAAGTCCATTTCCTCATGTTTACATGTCTTAAAGATATTTTTGGACTTGTCATCAAGCATTAGATCTAACATCACCTTTCATTTTCAAATCAGTTATTCCATTACTTGCTGATCTGTGAGTATTACCAAGAAATGTTTATAAATGTTTCTACAATAGCTTTACATTTATACTTACATTTTAATTAAACTATCAAAATTGCCTGCTTCAAAATGTAAGCAATATGTATTTTGCTTGAACAGCTTATTATAACTTTAACCTAAAATCATAGTGACCTTATTTGGGAAAAGACTTTGACTGTACCTTCAGAGACTTGACATTGACATTCTTGTCAGTTAAAAACCATTTTTACATATTGTATGCTTGTTTTTTGTTGTTTGTAGAAAGATATACTATTTTGGTAGTAATTTAAAATACAAGAATGAAAATATTTATTTGTCCACAGTTGAATATGTTGGATAAATTTTTTTTCCACAAAGATCACAGCACTTTTGTCTTTTATTTTTGTCTGTTGTTCTATTTACCAATTATAAAAGTTCTGGTTTAGATTTATGAATTTAATCGGCTGTATATATTTCTTTACAGAGCCTGGAGGAAGTATTTTACACAACATGTTTTATAATACATAACCATTTAAACAAAGATATATTTACATTTGGGTTGACTGCCTCTTTATTAAATCATAGTAAATTTTTCTTATTGAGATAATTGTGGACTACTTATATGTGAAGGGAGCCTGTGAAATTTTTCACTAGCTAAAACGTTGAGATTAAAGGTAGTTACTCTTATGATTCTTCTCAAATCTAACTGGTCAGATAATTATAAATTTATTCATAAAAAATAAAGACCAAAATCAATGTAGTTTTCAAAGAATTCAATAAGATTTAAGGAATCATATTTTCCACTGCCTATCTTTGCAGTTTTGAGAAAGAAATTGCTTAGTTGAAAAACTATGTTCTAAAACCTTTAATGTAGAATTAAAAAATGAGATGATCTAAGTACATTAATTGGCTATTCCAGAGATAAAAACAGTATTTCAATTTATGTTCCTGATTTGTATAAAAATGTAATCATTACAGAGTTTGCGGTAAAATACATGTAAACTTTAAAGAGTAAATAATAACTAATTATGAGTAAATGAGGTAGCTCAGGATTTTATGTACCTTTGAAAATATACTAATAAAGCTTATTGTTTAAAACTCATCTTGTTATATTCCATTTTAAAAAAATAAGATGTAATTTACAAAATTGCCTTGAGATCTTATTCTGAAGTTTTCATGTTTGAGAACATGTATTTCTTTATATAATATTTACTTATTTTTCTAGTGTTTCCATGATTTTATTTTAAAAATATAGATTTTATATCTATTTGTAATATACTTTATGTAAGGTATGAAATAAAAATCTAATTTATTTTTTTCTTAATGGTTAACTAGTAACAGCATTATATGTTCAATAATCCATTCTTTTCCTATTAATTTGAAATCCCATGTTAAATTAAAGGGTGGGGCCAAAGTTGGTTCACAGCTGTTTGTATGGAGAATAATATAATAATTAATAAATAATAATACAAAAATAAACTCTGCTTTATGTACTCACAACTATAAATCTACTTTGGCCCCACTCTTTACATGCTACATGATTGTATTCCTTGTGGAGTATAACTCCATCATAGCAGGAACTTTGGTGATCTTGCTCACTGTTTTATTGCTAACATTTATAACAGTGCCGAATGTACATGGGCTCAATAGACATTTGTTGCATCAATAAATAAATCATTGAATGAATTAGTGTGTTAAATTCTTACATGCCCTTGGGTCTGGAGTATATATTTTGTTACAAAATGTATAGGTAAATATTTACATAATATTATGTTAAGTAAACCCTAAAGCAGAAATCATACAGGAAAGTATCCAGTGAATGATTAAAAGAAAAAAATACACTTCTTTATGAAAATAATCAAAAGCAGAGCCATAAGACAAACTGGGGAAGATTATTTTCAAGATAGTAGAAAGAGTTAATCTTTTTAATATGAGGAGGGGCTAATGGCATGAAAAAGCAGTTCACAAAAGAGAAAAAATAGTAATAAAAATGAACTTCTTTCAATTCATGAATCATCAAAAATAGTAAATTAAACCAGAGAGATACTACTTTTTACCTACCATATTAACAAACAATGAAAGAATTGTTATATCCCTTAATGTTGAGGATATGGGAAATACACACACATACATATTCTTTAACATAGTAATGCTGTCTCTAAGAATCTATCTTAGAGTTGTTATGGATAAGAGAACAACTATGTATGGACAATGATGTTTATTACATTTTTGTTTCTAATAGATACTAAAAACAAGGAAAAGTCCAAAAATCCTATAATACGGGTATAGGTGAACTAATGGTACACACACAGTGTGAAATAAAAGACAGTCATTAAAAACATGACATTTCTCACCTGTTGAATTCAACATGGTTCACAAAATATTGTCTAACAGATTACAAATCAATGTGTAAAGTATGAATACCTTTAAAAAATCCTCACCCAAGGATATGTTAATTAATTTTAGAGAAGGGGAAGGGGGGAAAGGAAGGAGAGGGAAGAAAGAGAGGATGGAGGGAGAGATGGAGAGAGACAGACAGAGAGAGAGAAAATCATCTATGTGAAAAAGAAACATCATTTGGTTGCCTCCCATATACCCCCTGACTGAGGATTCAACCTGCAACCTAGGCATGTGCCCTTGACCTGGAATTGAAGCCACAAACTTTTGGTGTACATGATGATGTTTCTACCAACTGAGCCACCCGCCCAGGTATGTCCACCTTTTGTGAATTATTCTCTGTATATGTTGAATAAACTAAGGAACATTGACTACTAAACTCTTAAGAGTGTTGATCTCTGGGTGATGGCAGACAAATGGGTTTATAAAAACTTTTATAGGCATACCTTGAGGATATTGTGAGTTTAGTTCTGGACCACTAAAATAAAGCAAATATCACAATAGAGCAAGTCACACAAATTTTTTGCTTTCCCAGTGCATATAAAAGTTATATTTATGCTATATTATAGTGCATTAAGTGCACAATAGCATTATATCTAAAAACCAATACAATACTGTCATGGACCCCTGATCGTGGGGTCCACGGAGTTGTAGCTGAAGCAAAAGAAATTCACACAGACTACCGAATCCTGTGGACAAAAAGGAAGAGCGGCTTCTCTCTCAAGGGGAGCAAAAGCCTTGGCCCTTGCTTTGATGAGCTTTTATTGTCTTACTGGGCACATTACATGAAGGTCCTCATTAACTATGCACAGGCTCACTTTAGGTGGCTACCTTATACAAAAAAACAAAGGAGAGGATGCTGGTAATCACATCACAGAAGAGGGATATTTGCAAATGAAAAGGCAAAAGTGGTTGAACTGTTTACACTGGTCCTTGGAAGGTTTAGCATGATTTTTAGGAAGTTACTTTGCAATAGATGTTTGCCGCTGGGGGCTGGGCCCATGCCATGCAGAATGGTCTATACAATACCTTAATTAAAAAATTATTTATTGCCAAAAAATGTTGACCATAATCTGAGACTTCAGAGAATAATAATCTTTTTGCTGGTGGAGTTTTTGCCTCCATGTTGAGGGCTGCTGATGGATCAGGGTGGTGGTTACTAAAGACTGAGATGACTATGGCAACTTGTTAAAACATGACAATACTGAAGTTTGCTGCATTATTGAGTCTGCTTTTCAGGAGCTCTTTCTCTGTAGCATGTGCTGCTGTTGGATAGCATTTTACCCACTGCAGAAATTCATTCAGTATTAGAGTCAGTCTTCTCAAACTTTGCTACTTCATCAATTAAGTTTATGGAATATTCTAAATCTTTTGTTGCCATTTCAGTGATGTGCACAGCTCTTCACCAGAGATAGATTTCACCTCAAGGAATGACTTTTGTTGCTTATTCTTCAGAAGCAACTCCTCATCCATTAAAGTTTTATAATGAGATAGCAGCAATTCAGCCACATCTTTAGGTCCCACTTCTAATTCTGGTTCTTTTGCTATTTCCACCACATCTGTAATTACTTCCTCCACTAAAGTCTTGAACCCTTCAAAGTCATCCATGAGGATTGAAATCAACTTTCTCCAAACTCTGTTAATGTAGATACTTGGGGACTGCCCTGCCTGGTCTCAGGAAGCTGTAACCCCCCTGTGACTTTGGCTGAGTGACAGACCTCCAGACTAGGAGCCACTAAGGAGACAAAACTTATTTCCCTGGCATGAATGCTGCCTGTTCTGTGCCTGACCTCCTAAGCTTGATCAGTTAGCCAATGATGGGTAAGATTTCCCATGGAAGGAATCACCTAAGACAGGCTTGATCATGTGGAGGCTTCTGGGAAGAGACTCAGGGCTGTGGAAATGAAGGGGTGATGGACATCAACCCCTGCCCCCTTGGTTTTTTCAAAGCCTGAATCCTTGTTCTTAGATGTCAAAATCCAAGCCTCCTGGCTGCATTTGTCTTCTTTGTTAACTCAGGCCTGCGTAAATAGCAGGGGCAGTGCAGCCCAGACCAGAGTTGGTGGATCCCCGGGGTAATCAGGCCTGGGAAATAGAATATGCAAGATCTTGTGAGATCTGTTTGCTGAAGTATGTTAATAGATTAGAATTTGAAGGCACAGACAGGAAACCAAAACTAGCCCTTTAAGCACTGTTAGATAAAACCCGAAGCTCTGCTCAGAATCACAGCGGGGGTTCTGTCTGCACCTTTGTAAGTCACCTACTTCTTTTGATCTTTCCTGCCAGACTGTGAATCCACAAACTAAGTCTGGATTCTCAATAAAAATCTGCTTGGGAATGGATACGGTGCACTCTCCACTAGAGAGAGTGGCCATTTTTGTCTCTATTTCCCCACAGGACCTGGTTGTCTCTGTGTATGTTTTTCTCATGTTTCAACGAGCATCTGCAGCAGAGATGGATACTGCTGGCTGGTATCTGCCACAGATACTTTTACCTCTTCCTATGAAACATGAATGTTCTTAATGGCATCTAGAATGGTGAAAACTTTCCAGAAGGTTTTCAATTTACTGTGCCCAAATATATCAGAGGAATCACTATATATGGCAGTTATAGCCTTATAAAATTTATTTCTTAAATAATAAGATTTGAAAGTCAAAATTACTCCTTGATCTGTGGGCTGCAGAATGGATGTTGTTTTAACAAGCATGAAAAACAAAACTAATCTCCTTGTACATCTCCATCAGAGCTCTTGGGTGACTATGTGTATTATCAGTGAGCAGTAATATTTTGAAAGAAATCTTTCATTCTGAGCAGTAGGTATCAACAGAGGGCTTAAAGTATTCAGTAAACCATACTACAACAGGTGTAGTGTCATTCGGGCTTTGTGGTTCCATTTCTAAAGAACCAGGTAAAGTAGATACAGCCCTAGGATTTTCAGACTAATAAATGAGCATTGTCTTCAACTTAGAGTCACCAGCTGCATGAGCCCCTTACAAGAGAGTAGGCCCATCCTTTGAAGATCTGAAGCCAGCACTGACTGCTCAAGCTGTGAAAGTCCTATATGGCATCTCCCAGTAGAATGTGTGCATTTTCTCAATCAACAACCCTTTCCAATGTTTTGATTTATCTATAATATGCCTATGAATTTATATGTTAAACATGCCTGGATATATCGTTCCTGCATCTTTACATAAAAAAAAAACAGCTGTTCAGACACCTCAACTTAAATATCTTACTCTAATGTCATATTTATATGTCCCAAACTGAACTCATATTTCCTTCCCCAAACCTGTTCTGCCTCTTGTATTCCCTACATTATGTCACTGTCAGCTACTCACTTGTTCTCCAAAATCAGAAACCCAAGAGTCGCCCTAGATACTCTCTCACTCACCCCCTCCATCCACTGTCACTAAGTTCCATTGATTTCACTTCCCAACTTTCCCGACCTGTTCCTTCCTGGAGTTATTGCAAACACTTTCAAGGAAACCTTTCTGTGGCGGATTTAATATTGTTATGCTTTCTCCAAAAATATATCCTTCGTACTGCTGTCAGAGTGATTTTTCAAATAACCGGAAAAAAAAAAACCCTGTAAAATGCTCAAAATGGGATTCACACAACCTCTCCTGTTTCATGCCCACCGGAACATGCTTCTCCCTTCACCCCTCTTCCTGCCACGAATCACTAGGCGATGCTGTCATGTGGCTCCATAACTGACCCCACAATTGTCCCCAGGGCTGGGAATAAACCAGCAAAAGAAGATTGAAAACAAACGGTTCCCTTCGGAAGGAGTTTCGTAGACATAAATTACGCACCTCAAATTGTCACACAAAATGGCCCTCCACCCAGCCCGACCCGACTCCTGGGCGGGGCCGCCACTCTGACCTCAAGAACCGCTCAAGCACAGCCGGAGCCACTCGCTAGCTTAAGAGCAGGGCCACACTTGTGGCCCCGAGGGCTGTTCCTAAGGTCCCGACCCTGGTCTTGCGAACCTGTCAGCACTTCGGACAGAGACCCGCCCCTTTGTTCCGCCCTTCCACCACCCTCTGCCCCGCCCCCGACGCCGCCTTCTGCCCGGATCCGCGCTCCACCCTCCCGCTCTTCCCTACACCTTCGGTTCTGCCCACCAACACCCAAGTAGCCCTCTGCCCATCCCCATGCCCTGCCTCAGCGCCCACCCGAGACCCCGCCCATTACTTCTCCTACCCGCCCTTCGCTCAGCGCCCCCTCCCCCCGCCCTCCAATGCCCCAAGATGCGCTAGGCCGGGTCCTCCAGCCACCCTCGGCCGGTCCTGGAGGCCGTCGTAGCAGCCTGCCTTCGAGCTACTCCCAACCCCTCTGGCCGTGCTTCAGCTCTCGCCCTAGCGTCCCACACGACCGTCCTCCGCATCGCGATCGAGCCTCCTTCTCCCACCTGCTCTCGGCCCGGCCCCTGTTTCCCCCCAGCTGCCTTGGGCCCCGCTCACGACGCTCCAAACTAGAGTGGACACGAGGCGGAGGTCGTTGCCTGAGGGGCCGAGGAGCTTTCGGGTGCCTTGGTGGGGCCCAGCACCTTGACGCTGCTGGCCCGAGTCCCTACAGACATTGAAGCGGTAGGTGCCAGGTGCCGGGGAGGAGGAGCCGCAGAAAGGCCAGAGGTCTGCCTGGGTAAGAAGAGCTCTAGCTCCAGGTCTGCGCTGCTGCGGCAGCTGAGGGGAGGAGGGAAGTGCCTGGGTAGCTGAGGGAAAGGGAGCCGGCGTGCGGGAAGGAGGGGAATGCCCGGTGACATGCACGCAGGTCCAGCGGAGTTTCAGTGGAGTGGCAAGGAAAACCAAACCAAACCATATCAAAATGCCTGGAAAAGTACTGTGCGCGCTTGTTACCGGACCGGGTCCTAGAAAGTGGAGTAGGACCTACTTTTCTTCGGGAGTTCCCCGGACGCGTTTTGGGCACATGTTTTTAAAAATATATTACTGTGTATATGTATGTATACACACATGTATATACATGAATGCTCATACATGTATATATATATATACAGAGAGTAATATATATATGCAGTGTATATATGATTTTGGGCAAATGTGTTTACATGTTACTGTAGTTTTTATTACCAATAAAATAAATGTCAAACTAGTAACTACTTACCTGAAATTATAGTCAACAAGAAAAGAAAACCTGACAAGGAAAAAAAAAAGAAAGAACCATGTATGGTCATTTCACAGAACAAAACTAGTTAACGAAGATGTAAGCATATGCCATTAAATAACGTATATTAGTTTCAGACATACCACACAGTCATTCAATATTTGTGTCAAAAGTTTTATTTAATGGTATTTAAGGCAATGCTACTGTAAAAGTCTGTAAAAGGACAGTTCACACGATCCGACAACCACAAGCACCACCTAAATGTTCAATTGTGTTGACTGGAAAGATGCTTCACAGAGAAAAATATTTGGTCAGTTGTAAAGAGAAGGTGTGAAATGGAAAACGTCATGGAACACTCTGTAGGCTTAAGACTTTTTGATATTTTAGTTTCAATGTTTTTCTGAATGTGTATCCTGATGACAATGTCTTCATCATCTGTCATGATGGTTTGTCTCTTAATTCCCTCTATGCTCTTTATGATATTTTACATCTCGGTTTATTGGTTAAGGCACACCTCCTTGTATTGGCCTCCACTTTTTTGCACTCCACTTATTTTGTGCACCACCAGTGTTGCGTTTACTTATAACACGTTTCACCAGGATATGTGCTTTAATAGTATGGCATGGAGCCGAATCTGCAATGTTTTCGAGGTGTGCCTGTAGGTGCTCTTAACTTACAAGCAGCATTTGGATTCAAGGAATCCTAACTTTAAAAAGTACTATTTAGAAGTGGAAAATTGAAATTAAATCTTATTTGGTTATCATGTGGGAAATATATGTGAGGTAGATGAAATCTGTTTTTTTTTCACTTAGCTTATTTCTTTAATTTTATGTATGATCATTTTTCTTAATTGCAGCAGAACCATCAGCACCTTTTCAACAAATCTAAGGTCAAGCTGGAAATTTTAAGTATGATACCCAGTTTTTAAGTACACTACATAGTATATTTCTTATGTTATAATTTCTGACTGATATGATAGCATATCCCATGTACAGAATAGGAAAGTATAATAATCCCATAATTTATTTTATATTGTAAGAAAAATTATAAATCAAGGGAACAGGAATTATTAGAACATGCCCATTTATACAGCAAGGCTTCATACATAAATGTCCCTACTCATAATTATTTTTTTAAACTATACAAGATGTCCACATGGAATAGTGGAGAGTCAGATTTCTTTCTTTTACTCACCAAACACTCAAGTTTACAGATGAGGGCATAACTTTATAGTCAGTCCTCATTAGTAGCAGTTATTAAATAAGTGAACTTGAGCATGTATCTTATTTTTCTGAGTTTTCTGTGAACTGACTAATGATTTCATATAATACTGTATGGGTCAAACTTAGAGAAAATATATTTAAAGCATTTAGTATGTAATAGGACCTCAAAAAAAGAGCTTTAATTTTAAAAGATTAGTGTACAGGGTGTGGCAAAAGTCAATTTACAGTTGTTTCATGGGAAATAATACAATGATTAATAAATAATAATACAGGAATAAACTCTGTGTTTTGCATATTTATAACTGTAAACCTACTTTTGCCCCACCTGCAAACTTTATGAGGTCCACTATTTGCTACTTGATGTGGTAGGTAAGTGTGGCAGATATTGGCCAGCAGTATCCATTGCTGCAGATGCTCGTCAAAACGCGAGAAAAACATACACACAGATAACGGAGTCCTGTGGAGAAATAGATACGAAATGGCCACTCTCTCTAGTGGAGAGTGTCTAGTTCTGCCCAAGCAGGCATTTATTAAGAATACAGGTACAGTTTACAGTCTGACTGGGAAGATAAAACAAGTAGTTAGCTTTGAAAGGGGCTAGCAGATCTCCCGCTGGGGTTCTGAGATGTTGGGGTTTTATCATTTAAAAAGACTATAGGACCTAAAACGCTAGTTTTGTTTCCTGCCCCTGCCTTCATATTCTAATTAAAGAGCATCCTCCAGCAAGCAGATCTCACAGGATCTTTCATATTCTATGTCTCAGGTCTGATTACCCTGGGGGTCCACTGACTCTGGGTTGGACTGCACTGCACCTGTTATTTCCGCAGGCCTGAGTTGGGCAGAGGAGACAAAGGCAGCCAGGAGACTTGGATTTCTCACAACTAAGAACAAGGATTCAGGCTTTGACAAAGCCAAGGGGGCAGGGATTGATATCCATCACCCCTTCATTTACACAGCCCCCCAAGTCCTTCCTTGAGGCCTCCATGTGATCATGCCTGTCTTAGGCAATTCCCTCCAGGGGAAATCTTACCCATCATTGGCTACCTGATCAAGCATTGGGGGCTGACACAGAACAGGCAGCATTCATGCCAGGGAAATAAGTTTTGTCTCCTTAGTGTCTCCTGGTTCAAAGGCCTCTTACTCAGCCTTAGCCATGGGTGGTTACAGTTTCCTGAGACCAGGCAGGGCGGACCCCAACAGGTAGGATTGTTTCTTTTGCAACTGTTGCCCTTTGTATCAGTTGATGTAAATGCCTACACTGGAGTCTTAAGAAACTTTTGGAGCTATACATTCAATGAGTGAAGCAGGCATTATAGTTTAAAATTGAAGTTATTAATATTTTATATACTGACTTCATAGTTCAGTTGTCTATTCTTTTTAACCTAAACTGAGGACTGGGCTTTGGTTTGTGGTGTCCTGTCCTTCATAGATTATGATCCTATGGATCACTTTTATAATTACTTTTCCATTAATTACACTGTTCAAGACATGATGCTGTTATATAGTACACATCCTAAACTCATTCCCTTTAATGTCAGTGTCTCTATGGCGCCATCTTTTATAATTTCCTTAACTTTGTGGATTCCTGTGTCTGGAACCTTTGCTGCAATTTTCCCACTACAAATTGAAAGGGTAGGCAGTACTAAAAGTTCTTTTATTTTTTTATTATTTACTTGTGTTTCAAAATTATATAATAGTTCTATAATGCCCCAACTTTTGGCAATCCTTTGTTTGAATACTGTGGATTTTCATTGCTCAGGAACTGGAAAAGACATTACAACCTACTGACTCAATTTCAGCCAAGCAATGAGAAACAAGAAAGCATGTGTCAGAGTACTCTATTGTGTTCTGATTCATATTGTTTCATATGGGAAACATGATGGAAAGTGGCAACATACTAGTATTAGGGTCTCAACTAAAATCAGTATGATAAACATTAAATTATGCAAAATTAGATTGCTATTTGGTCCTCATTTTAAATATTCCCTTCCACATGAAAAATATTTAATACATATTTGAAATATTTTTGGCAACTTATGCTTATAAGTTTTTTTATTTTGTATTATGCCAGAGTTGTATTGCCAGCAAATGCAGACACTAACTTTGTTTAGAAAGTTGTTAATAGCTATGTTGAAGTACCAGTTAACAGACACATTACAAAGCCAGGTAGGTGTTAACCTGGAGTACTTAGTGGCTTGTTTACCTCTAAAGTTCAGGAAAAAAAATAACTATTTTATGTTTATTCATGATTTCTAACTTTGAAGGGTTGTTTATAAATTTATAATTTTAAAATTTGAATTATGTCCAAAGGCATTTAAAAATATATAAAAGCATATCTTTGGAGCTAAAAGGTAGTTATTAAACCAATTTTATACTTAGAGAAACAGGCACTTAGACTAATGATCTGCTTATGATTATTTGGTTACAATTCTTTCTGGATGAGCCTGTGCAAAGTCAGGTGAGTTTTACCTTTGACTTTGTTTTGATAGCATCAAAATTTGAAAAACTGTATCCCATTTCGTCATAAGAAGATTTTAGTTATATTTAGGGGGTATTTAAATTTACAGGTTTATTTGATGAAAGTAATTATGTTGCAGGTATTATGATACAAAGGTAAATAAGATCTAGTTTGTTTTTTTACCTCAGTTCAGTCTGATTAAACAGGCATGAGTGTTCAGAAATACCTCATTTTATTGCATTGTGTTTTTTACAAATGGAAGGGAACACCCTCCACCAGCAGAAAGATTATGACTTGCTTTACTGTGATATTCTCTTTATCATGATGGTCTGTAATCTAAATTGCAATATCTACGTCACAATATGACTGTAATAGATTTATTGTGTTGCATTTTAGAAAAATTGATAGACAAAGTGCAGTAGTGACCAGTGTAGGAGGAAAGATAATTTGTTGTTGTTGTTGTTGTTGTTATTATTATTATTTTTATTATTATTACTTTATTATCAATTTGTTAGGAATGAGATAACTATGTGAACTATTTTATTTACTGTTACTATTGAGACATGAGGATATTTTCATTTCCCAAGGATGTAGCAAGAACTTAACTTTGGTGTTGAAGGATGAATAGCAATTTAGAAGAGGAGCAGCAGGGAGAGTGAGGCAACTTCAGACAGAGCACCTGAATGTACAGATATATGATGAAACAAAATAACATCAATATATTTAACATATTATTTAACATCCACCGTGGTAGACACTGGAAATATACCTGAGTAAAAGGGTTATAATTACATAGTCAGATCATAGGTAATTGCAGCTAGTGCAGTAAGAACTACATTGGAAGAAGACACAGGGGTGCTTTGTGAGCACACAAGGGTACTTGACCAGAACTTGAATAGTTCTGCCTGGTTCTAAGTTGGAAAGAGAGGTTGGAGCTAGCTTGGTTGTAGAATGCTGGCTGAAGGCATGGGCATAGCCATCATTTTGTAGAGTCATGACCTTGGGCAAGTTACCTAACTTCTCTAAGCCTTATAGAAAATTAGGATAAAAAAAAATAAAGCTAACATTTATTGAAGTCTTACCATATACACAGCATTGTGCTAATGCTTTATACAGATTATCTGATTTAATCTTCACATCAAACCTAGGAGGTGGAAGCTATTGTTTTTCATTGTTCTAATAGGTGGTAGAGCCATGATATGAAACCAAGTAGGCTGACCTGAGACCTCAGCTCTAACTAATAGTGGTTAATTTATAGAGTTGTTCTGAATGCTAAATAATGTAACTCAGGCAAATGGTTTGCTAGGCATAAGACAGGGATGTCGACTCCTGCTTCTATTATTAATAATGCAGGAGGTGATGGGGAACTGAAGTTTAAACTGGTATGTGTGTAAAGGGATCCTAGTTTGGAGAGAAACAGGCTGCATTCACCCATTTGTTCAGTTTAAGAAGAATCCGTTCCTCACTTTTGCCTAATATAGAATACAAATAAATTGTACATTATAGTTTGATATGTCCTATCTGAATACCCTGATGTAGCCATATTCACTGTGTCCCAGGAACATAGGGAGAGGGAGTATTTAAATCAGACTGGGTGATTAAGGAGAAGAATTGAGAACTACTGTGGAACTGAAAGAGTAGTGGTGAAAGTGAAGAAAATAAATTTGAGAGATATTTTAAAAATACAATGGACAGGAATTAGAGACACCACAAATTCAGAATGTCCAGTTGAAAGTGTTTCTGACCAAGGATAGTCTGAGAGAGTTAGTGATGACTTTAAGGAATATGGGAGGAGAGACAGCTTTGGAGTCAAAGTCATGGTTTTGATTTCGATTATGTTGAATTCAAGGTGCCTGTGATAAGATATAAATGAAAATATCTTTGGGCAACTAGAAAAATAAGTGAATTTGAAAGAGAGGTAGATGTTGGATATTATTTGCCATGCAGGTATAGATAGATAGTTGCAATAATAATAGGTAAGGTTAGCAGAACCGAAGCCAAATTTGGAAGAATTCCTAAGTTTAATTGGAGCAAAAAGAGGAGTCAGCTGAGGAAATTAGGATAGGCAATTAAAGAAGTAGGAAATAAACCAAAAGAGAAGAGGGAAGTTAAGGAAGGAAAATTTTTTGGAAAGGGAATATTCAGTTGTGGCAGATGCTATAAAGTTGTTGCATATTGTTTTAAATGCTTCTTTTTTGTTTTCCACCTTAACTTATAAAATAGGTATCTTGAAATAAATGTTGTGGTTATTTGTATATATGTTAAAGCACCTTGGTTATCTTGTCCAAAAGATAAAAATGTGTATTTTCCTCTAAAGTATGGAACCTCAAGGTCTTTGTGATAATGGAAACCAAAAAATTGATTGGTAGATCACTTCGACCAGCAAGACCTGTTTGTCATCTGACTTCTGCCTCTGGTGAGTAATCTAGGGCACATGTTTTAAAATATTAATTGGTTAATGGCCAATTAGCATCAGAAAGGCTAAATAATATATAAAGCAATTGTTTATGACACATACTAAAGAAATAATGAAAATTATTGATCTCCTTGGAAGAATTTAAAAGTATTACTAAAGAAAAGGACTCTTACTAGTCTAATAGACCAAGTAAGGTAGGATAATAGCTCTGATATGAGAACATCTTTGTGTATTTTCTATGTCTATTTTTTGTGGTTAACTGGCTTCTGTGCAAAATGATACTCTCAATACAAATTGTGCCCTATGATTATGGTCACTGCAGAGCTCTCATGCTGGAGAGAGAATAAGCTTTTAAAAAATATACCTAACTCCAAAGAGAAAAAAAGATTAGTGCCAAACAGCTTACAGATTTGGGCTGTGCTTGAGTTGGAACATATACTCTAATTATTCAGGAAATCTAAACAAATGAAATATCAAAAATTAAATTTTTTGTTTTGTTGTGGGAAGCTAATCTTTTTAAATTTTTATTCTATTACAGTTGTCCCAGTTATTCCCCCTTTGCTCTCCTCTGCCCAGCCCACTGAAAACTAGTCTTCTGAAAAAATTCTTGAAGCACTTGATATTTAATCCCTAAATTGGAATATTAACCATTTTGTTATTTTTATTTCTTGTTGCCAGAATGGCTTCTGTATTCTAATTTAGGAAAAAAGTAAAAATAACTTTTTATTGGGTTCAAAGGTGAAGTGGAAAAGATAGATAGGGCACCAATCCCTCACTCTTCCATTTTTTCATCATCCTTGGTTCCCATAAGGTAGGCCACTTTGGTCATGCATGTTTCCTTTGAAGGTGGCTGTGACTTACGACAGATAAATTAATGGGTTTTTTGAATCATAGCGTAGCAGTGCTGTTGCCATAACCTTCTAGTGTGTTGAAGAAACAGTTGTGTAGAGTTAAGTCTCAGATTTTATCCTAAAGGGAAGGATATAGAGCCATTGTTAGCAGCCCCTTTCTATGATTTGCTTTTTTTACACTGCCCCACCACCCGCTCCCCCTGCCATGTCTACAGATTCAGTTTTTCACTGCTCCTTTCCCTTCAAGGCTGCTGCAGAGGTAAATGGGGATGTACTGGTAGCCCTGACTTCTCACTGAATTATTACATCTTTTGAAGATCCAGACAAGAGTAGAGTTTTACTAGGCAAAGTTTAGTAAATCAGAAATTAAACTGTGCTTTTCTCAACATACTTCTATACTTCTTGTCTACCTTATGCCCCCAAAGAAATCTTTGTCTTTAAAACCCAAATTGAACTATTTATTTTTGTGATGCCCTCCTTGATACCTCAAAGTGCACTCAGCTCTCCCCTAACATATTCTCTGTATATCTCCTATAACTTATTTTTATAGTCACTATTTATGAGCATGTGCTTTAAAAGAGACTGCAAAGGTTTTTATCTCCAATTTTCATGCTTATAACGAACACAGTGTGTTGAATAAGTGAATGATCAGAAAACATTTTAAAACAGTATTTAGAATATCCTAAATAATTAAGATTTTTAGGTGCCATTTTATCATATATTGAAGACATGGATATTTAAAATAGTTTTTTTTTTCATTCCTAACAGGAACAGTATTCCCTTTCGACTTTCAGAATGAATATCCATGCAACACTCAGTACTTACAAAGTGGAGTTAGTAGAGTAAGTCTTAGACATTATAACATGAAGTGTGCCTGACTGGAAAGTGGCATTTGTCAAATGGCTGTTGTGTGCCAGCTACTATGCTAAGTGCTTAAATATTTTTTAAACTTTACGATAATATTTCAAGCATATATTAAAGAGAATAAAATGCTCATTAAACCTGTTACCCAGTAATTTCAGATCTAAACATTTTGCTATATTTGTTTTAGAAAATTTCATTTATTTATTTTTGTGTATGCTATTCTAGTTGTCCCAATTCCCTGCACTTCATCCCCTTCAGCCCATTCCCCACTCTCACAGTCAATCCCTACACCCTTGTCCATGATTCCTTTTTATATGTTTTTGACTAATCCATTCAGCTTCTTTCAGTTAGTCCCTACCTCTCCTGTCCTCTCTTACAGCTATCAGTCTATTCCATAATTCTATGCCTCTGGTTTTATTTTGCTCACTAGTTTATTTGGTTAATTAGATTCCACTTATAAGTGAGATCGTATGGTATTTGTATTTCACCAATTGGCTTATTTCACTTAGCATGATAGTCTCCATTCCATCCATGCTGTTGTGAAGGGTAGGAGTTCCTTCTTTCTTTCTGCTGCATAGTATTCCATTGTGTAAATGTACCAGTTTTTCAATCCACCTACTTAATGATAGACACTTGGGCTGTTTCCAAATCTTAGTATTGTAAATGGCTCTGCTATAAACACAGGGGTATATAAATTCTTTGGAATTGGTGTTGTGGAATTCTTATATTCCCAGCAGTGGAATTGGTGGGTCAAAGAGCAATTCCATTTTTAATTTTTGGAGGAAATTCCATACTGTTTTTCATAGTGGCTTAACTAGTCTGCATTCCCACCAACAGTGTACTAAGGTTCCATTTTCTCTCATCCTTTACAGCACTTGTTGTTTGTTGACTTATTAATGATAGTTATTTTGGTAAGTGTGAGGTGAGGTGATATCTCATTCTGGTTATAATTTGTCTCTCTCTTATGGCTAGTAATGTTGAACATCTTTTCATATGCCTATGGACTATCTCTGTATGTCCTCCTTGGAGAAGTGTCTCTTCAGTTCCTTTGCCCATTTTTAAATTGGATTGTTTGTCTTCCTGTTGTTGAGTCACGTGAGTTCTTTATATATTTTGGAAATCAAACCCTTGTCCAATGTATGATTGGCAGATATGTTCTCCCATTAGGCTGGTTTCATTTTCATTTTGATGATGGTTTCCTTAGCCATGCAGAAGCTTTTTAATTTGAGATAGTCCCATTTGTTTATTTTTTCCTTTATTTCCCTTGCCCTAGGAGATGTATCAGCAAAAATATTACTATGTGAGATATCTGAAATTTTACAGCCTATATTTTCCCACCAGGACTTTATTGCAACTTATATGTAAGCCTTTTATCCATTTTGAGTTTATTCTGGAGTGTGATGTAGGTTGGTGGTCTAGTTAATTTTTTTCTTGCATCTATCAGTCCAGTTCTCCAAGCACCATTTATTGAAGAGACTCTCTTTATTCCATTCTATGCTCATGCCCCTTTGTCAAATATTGATTGACCATAAAGATATGAGTTTATTTCTGGGCTCTGTATTCTGTTCCATTGATCTATATGTCTGTTCTTGTGCCAGTACCAGACTATTTTGATTATAGTGGCCTTGTACTAAAGTTTGATATCAGGTATTGTGATTCCTCCACCTTTGTTCTTCTTTCTCAAGATTGCTGAGGTTATTTGGAGTCTTGTTTGGTTCCATATAAATTTTTGGACTATTTGGTCTAGGTCTGTTAAATATGCCATTGTTATTTTAATAGAAATTGTGTTGAATCTATAGATTTCTTTGGGTAGTATGGACATTTTAATGATGTAAATTCTTCCAATATATGAATATAGTATATGCTTCCACTTATTTGTACCTTCCTCAGTTTCTTTCTTCAGTGTTCTTTAGTTTTCCAAGTACAGGTTTTTTACCTCCTTGATTACATTTATTCCTAGGTACTGTATTTATTTACATTTTTTTGTTTCTGTAGTAAATGGGATTTTTTCCCCTAGTTTCTCTTTCCAATAGTTCATTGTTGATGTACAAAAATGTCTTTGATTTCTGAATATTGACTTTGTATATGCTACTTTGCCAAATTCACTTATTAGGTTTAATAGCTTTTTGGTGGAGACTATAGAGTTTTCTGTGTACAATATCATGCCTTCTGAGAATAATAACAGTTTTATTTCCTCCTTTCCAATTTGGATGCCTTTTATTTCTTCTTTTTGTCTGATCACTGTGGCCAGAACTTCCAGTACAATTTTGAATAAGAGTTGTGAAATTGGACACTCTTGTGTTGTTCCTGATCTTAAGGGAAATGCTTTTAGATTTTGCCCATTGAACATGATGATGGCAATAGGTATTTTTTTATGGCCTTTATTATGTTGAGGCATATGCTCCCTCTATTCCCACTTTGCTGAGTATTTTTATTATGAATGGGTGCTGAATTTTATCAAAAGCTTTTCCTGCATCTATTGATATGATCATGTGATTTTTCTCCTTCCTTTTGTTTATATGAAGTATTATGTTTATTGATTTGCAAATATCATACCATCCTTGCATCCCTGGAATAAATCCCACTTGGACATGGTGTATAATCTTTTTGATGTGTTGCTAGATCTGATTTGCAAATACTTGTTGAGGATTTTAGCATCTAGATACATCAGAGATATTGACCTGTAATTTTCTTTCTTTGTTGTGCCCTTACCTGGTTTTGGGATTAGGATAATCATGGCCTTGTAAAAAGAGTTTGGGGATTGTCCCTCTTTTTGAATTATTTGGAATAGTTTGAGAAAGGTAGATGTTAGTTATTCTTGGAATATTTGGTAAAATTCACATGTGAAGCCATCTAGTCCATGGCTTTTATGTGTTAGGAGTCTTTTGATCCCTGTTTCAATTTTGCTAGGTGTTATCAGTTTCTTCAGGTTTTCTTCTTCTTCCTGATTCGGTTTTGGAAGATTGTATGTTTCCAGAAATTTGTCCATTTTGCCTAGGTTGTTCAGTTTCTTGGTGTATAGTTGTTCATAGTAATCTTACAATCCTTTGTATTTCTGTGGTATCAGTTGTTACTTTTCCTCTCATTTATGATTTTATTTTTTGGGTCCTCTCTCTTTTTTTCTTGATGAATCTGGTTAAAAGTTTGTCAATTTTGTTTATATTTTCAGAGAACAAGCTCCTGGGCTTATTGATCCTTTGAGACTTTTTATCCAACTGGATGCTGGATTTTATCAAATGCTTTTCTGCATCTATTGATATTATCATGTGGTTTTTATTTTTTATTTTGTTTATATGGTTGTATCAAGTTCATTGATTTGCAATATTATACCAATCTTGCATCCCCAGAATAAATGTTGCTTATTTTAATAAGTATGTTTGTGATATTACTTATTCTTTTTTTTAATAGAGACACTTTTTTAAAAGATTTTATTTATTTATTTTTAGAGAGAAAAGGGAGGGAAAGAGAGAGAGAGAGAGAGAGAGAGAGAAACATCAATGTGCGGTTACTGGGGGTCATGGCCTGCAACCCAGGCATATACCCTAGCTGGGAATCAAACCTGCGACACTTTGGTTCGCAGCCCACGCTCAATCCACTGAGCTACACCAGCCGGGGCTCGACATTACTTATTCTTTATCTCCAAAATATGCCTTGGCTAATTCTTTGATTGTTTAGAATATTTTTGATGGATAAAAATGAAGTGTTATATAAAAGTTTTAAGACTCAATTTAAAAATGTATTTTTTTTTTCAACAGAGTAAGATGAATGGAATGCAGACCTTTCCTCAAGGTCTGAATAACCAACAGCAACATCAGTCTCCAGTCAAAAAGGGTAAATTTTTATTATAATTCCCAGATTTCATAAGAGAATGTTAGCATTTATGTGGAGTTAATATTTGTTTAGTTCAAACCTTTTGTACATGAGAAATTTTATTGTATTCTTTTGGTTGATTTCTGTTCATTTTATTAAGACTGTAGGTTTGATTGCTCCAAAGTTGAGACCATAATAACAATGGCTTAAAAAGGTAGAAGCTTGTTTATGTATCTTCCATGTCATGTAAAATTTTAAACTGGTGTACTTGTTCTGCTCTGTAAAGCTGCTATTGGCTTATGTATACAGCTGACCCATGATCAACATAGGTTTGAACTATGCAGGTCCACTTATATGTTAGTTATTTTCAGTAAATGCTATAAATATAATTTTCTTCCCTATGAGTTCCTTAATACCATTTTCTTTTCTCAAGATTACATTTTTGTAAGAATACTGTATATAATACATATACAAAATATATATTAATTGTTTATGTTATTGGTAAGGGTTCTGCTCAATAGTAGGCTCATAGCAGTTAAGTTTTGGGGGAATCAAAAATTATCCATGGATTTTTGACTGAGTGGAGAGTTGGCAGCTCTAACCCCCATATTATTGAAAGGTTGATTGTACTCTTATTTGTTTTGCTCTCTTTAACATATGGTTTCTCTCTCATTGCCCAAGATGAATGCTTCTGCTCCAACCATCTAGTTGTCAGGAAGGAAGGGAGAGGAAAGGAAGTGTTCCTTAAAAGGATGACACAGAAGTTACATATGACACTTCCATTTAATTTCTCATTGGCCAGAACTTAGTTATGCTGCACAAAGCAGAGCTGTGCAGCCCCCTAATTCTGTTACTGAAGCTGAAGGGAAGAATTCTGATGAAGAATCAGTAGTTTCTCCTACACCAGCTACTTTTAATAAATAAATCATTTAGAGTCCAAATATTTGTCAAACAATTTATATATGTAGATAAAAAGTTATGAAATACTGTATTAGCTTTTTTCTTAGTGTTTAACTTCATATTTCTAAATAATATTTAAATTATTTTCAAATTTCTCATGTTTTGATATTATATATTTTGGAAAATGAGAACTTACATCTTCTTCATCAGTCCCCTCACTTCACCCTTTGTATCCCCTTCCCACTACATAGCGATTGCACAAGTTTCAGATAAAGCATTATCAGTCTTCATATTATGTGACTATGTTAAATACAGTTGCTTAGCTAAGAGATACATATCTCCTTTTCATATAGCTGATGTTTGCCTTGGTTTCCTGTGCAACTATTAATTGTTTCCCTCAAATGCTCCAATAATTTTGTCTATAATAGTTTTGTTATGCTTGACCCTATCTAGATGCTCAGAATCCTAGAGGAGACTTTCCTTTGATAACCTTCCATTGCCCTGTTCCAGGACAAACCAGTTGCTCTTCAGTCATGCTGGAATGAACTTTTACTATTATTTTGAGACATCTTTTGGCAATTCTTTGGTTCCTTTTCTCTTGAAGTAAAATTCACCATTTAAAACATTTTAAAAATGTACAAATCAGTGGTTTTTAGTATTATATTATGTAACCATCACAACTATTTAATTCAAGAATATTTTTATCACCCCAGAAGGAACTTCATACCTAGTAAGCAGTTACTTCCTATTCTCCTTTCCATCCAGCCACTGGCAAAACTAATCTGTTTTTTGTCTTAATGGGTATACTTATTCTGGAAATCTCATTTAATGGAATTTTATAATAGGTGACCTTTTATGTCTGCCTTCTTTTGCTTGTAGGTTTTTGAGATTCATCCATGTGTAGCATATATCAGTACTTCCTTTTTATTGCTGAATATTATTCTGTGGTATTGATGTGCTGCATTTTGTTTACCTGGTTCTCAGTTGATAGACTTTTGGGTCAGTTTTACTTTTTGGCTATTACAAATAATGTTGTTATGAATACTTGTTTATGAGTTTTTGTTTTAACACCTGTTTTCATTTTTTTCTTGGGTATATACTTAGTGGTAGATTTGTTAGGTAATGCCGCGGCCAGCGAGGCAGTGGGTTCGAGACGCGCAGTGACGGACAGAAAAGAGAGAGCGACCAGTTGCTCTGGTGGCAAAAGGCAAGTTTATTGAAAACTCTTGTCATTATATAGTGAAATGTTCTAAAAATAGAATGCTTGCTACACGAAGAGAGTCTTTGTTCAAGAAAGTTTACACACCCCTCCAGGTCACGTACAGAACATCCCGAGACATGACAAACATTCTGGTTTAGATTAACTCCAAAGACACGACGCATCGCCCCAAGGCTCCAGCACCTCCCTGTCCTTCTCTTGGGAACAATTCGATAACAAACAAGGCCGGGGTAATGTCAGGTCACCTCCCCCGAGGCCAAGGAACAGGCCCAAGCATCATTCTCACAATGCAAGACCCTAACTCTTGACCCCTTCCTGGGGGCTTGGTTCCCCACAAGGTAATGTGGTGATTGTAAGTTTAACTTTTTAAAAAAGATTTATTTATTTATTTATTTTTAGAAAGGGAAGGGAAGGAGAAAGAGAGAGAGAGAGAAACATCAATGTACGGTTGCTGGGGGCCATGGCCTGCAACCTAGGCATGTGCCTTGACTGGGAATCGAACCTGCAATGCCTGGTTCGCAGCCCACGCTCAATATGCTGAGTTACGCCAGCCAGGGCTAAGTTTAACTTTTTGAGGAAACCAGACAGGGCAGTTCCCAACAACTGCCAAACTGTTTTCCTTAGTGACAATAGCATTCTATATTCCCATTAGCAACATATGAAGATTCCAATTTCTTTACATCCTTGTTAGGATTTTTATTTATTGTAGCATCCTAGTTGGTATGAAGTAGTATATCATTGTAATACTGATTTGCATTTCTCTAATGACAAATCATTTTGAGCATTTTTTCATGTGCTTGTTGGCCATTTATATTTCTTTTTTGGAGAAATTTCTATTCAAGTCCCTTTGACTATATTTTAATTGGGTTGTTTTCCTCTTTTGTTGAGTTGTAAGAGTTCTTTATACTAGACCCTTTTCTCTCTCCCTCTTTCCCACCTTCCTTTTCTGCTCTCCTCCTTCTCTGTTTCTGTCTCTCTCTAGTTCTCTTATGCTTTTTGTGACATATCTAAGAAATCATTGCTGAAATTTAGGTCATGAAGATTCATTCCTATGAGTTTGCTTGTATCTGTTCAGTTTTCTCAATACCTCCTATTAAAAAGACTGTCATTTCCCCATTGTATATATTCTCACCTTCTTTTTCATAAATTAATTTACCAAATAAGCATAGGCTTATGTCTGGGCTCTCTAACCTGTTCCATTGATCTATGTATGTATCTATATCTGTTTTTATGCCAGTACCATGCGATTTTGATTACTATAGCCTTGAAGTATATTTTGCTATCAGGTAGCATGATACCTCCACCTTTGTTCTTCCTCAAGCTTGCTTTGGCTATTATGGGTCTTCTTTGGTTTTATATAAATTTTAGGATTATTCGTTTAGTTCTGTGAAAAATTCCATTGGTTTGTGATAGGAATTGTATTGAATCTGCACATTGCTTTGGGTAGTATGGACATTTTAGAGTATTAATGCTTCCTATCTATGAGTATAGTATATCTTTTCATTTATTTTTATCTTTATAGTTTTTGAGTACAGGCCTTTAATTTTCTTGGTTAAATTTATTACATGGTGTTTTATTCTTTTTGATGCAATTGTAAATGGGATTATTTTCTTAATTTCTTTTTCTGATAGTTTAATATTGGTATATTCAAATGCAAAAAAATGTGAATATTTATTTTGTACCCTGATACTTTAGTGAATTCATTTGTTAGGTCTAATAGGATTTTGGTGGAGTCTTTAGGGTTCTTTCTATATAGTACCATGTATTCTGCAAATAATGACAGTTTTACTTCTTTCTTTTCAATTTGGATGCCTTTTATTTCTTTTTTTTTTTTGTCTTATTGCTGTGGCTAAGACTTCCAATACTATCTTTAATAAAAATGGTAAAAGTGGACATCCTTTTCTTGTTCCTGATTTTAAAAAAAGCTTTTAGCTTTTCACCATTGAGTATGATGTTAGCTGTGAGTTTGTTATATATGGCTTTTATTTTGTTGAAGTAAGTTCCCTCGCTACTTTGCTGAGTTTTTATCATACACATATATTGTCAAATGCTTTTTCTGCCATTGTTGATAATCATGTGATTTTATCCTACATTTTGTTTATGTGCTGTATCATGTTAATTGATTTGTGAATGTTGAGACAAACTTGAATCTCTGGAATAAATCCCAGTTGATGATGGTGTATGATCTTTTTAATGTATTGTTGAATTCTTTTTGTTACTATTTTGTTATGCATTTTTGCATCTTTGTTCATCTTTAAAAGTCTGGCAAAATTCACCTGTGATTTCATCTAGTCTAGGACTTTTGTTTGTGAGGTTTTTTTTTAATTACTAATTTAATTTAATTAGTAGTTATCAGGCTGTTCATATTTTGTTTCTTCCTGATTCAGCCTTGGATTGACTGTATGGTCCTAGGAATTTATCTGTTTCTTCCAGGTTATCCAATTTGTTGGCATATAAATGTTCATTATATTTTCTGTATATCTGTGGTATTAGTTGTCCCTTCTCTTTCATTTCTCAATATATTTACATATATTTACTTGGTCCATCTCCTTTTTCCTTGATGGTACTGGCTAAAGTTTAATCAATTTTGTATATCTTTTTAAAGAACCAGCTCTTGATTTCATTGATCTTTTGTAATTTTTTAAGCCTATTTTGTTTATTTCTGTTGTGACCTTTACTATTTCTCTACTTCTATTCACTGTTTTTCCATAATTTCTCTAATTCCTTTAGATATGTAGTAGGAATCTTTGAGTTTTATTTTGAGGAAGTTCTGTATTGCTATGAATTTTAGAAATGCTTTGTCTCTGTCCCATAGATTTTAAGTCATTTTATTTTCATTTTAATTTGTCTCAAGGTTTCTTGATTTATTCCTTGACCTCATTCTTAAATTATTTTTTGTTTA